GCGCATCTTTTCCCGGCCCTCCCACCCCCCCCCCCCCCCCATCTATCCCTGTGGTTCCTGGGCTTTCCCTCTAGAGCTCTCTAATGCCTCAGACTCTTCCCTTCTTTCATCCCTCTTGCTCAGGTGCTACCTTTCACTCCTTTTCCTAGAAGGCAGGCATCCTACCTCTCTCTAGTTGCTCCTCCCTTGGCCCTCCCCTGTTTTCCATCTAGCCAAACTGGTTTGAGCCAGCCACACCCCCTTCCCAGCTCCTGGGACTCCAGGTGGTGGCTGGCCACCTAACCCCACCCTTGAGCTTGGCTTGGAGCCCTGAGTCAACCCCATCTCCACCCAAGGCAAATCAGACCTGAGGCAGGAGCCGAAACTCTCAGTCTCTCAAGTCCTATAGACAGGTAAGAGTCCCTGTTCTTTTTACACATTCTGACTTCAACTCCCTGCGCATTCTTGTGTTCTCTTCCTGCCGATTTTTTGTCTGTGTTTACCTCATCTGAGTTCTTTCCTCATGCCTACGCGCCTGCAACCTCATGGCACATATCATTCTTTGCTCTCTGATCGTCTTGCCTCTTTCATCTTCTCTATCCCTTGTTACTTGTTTTCAGGGAATCACAGATGGTTCTATTTTGTCTAGGCTATAGGAATGGTTGGAGATGAGGGTGGAAAGAGTTTGATGCCAGAGCTTAGAGGATCTAGAAATAGGGAGATGAGAAATGATTAAGTAGAGCATCATTATGGTGGTTTCTGTGTGGGTAATGAGGTCATTTGGACTCAGTATGCTAATCTGATTGACTTGTGCGGCCTGGGTTAAAATGGAGAGAGTTGGTGGCAAGGAGGCAACGGCAAGGAGGCAACAGCAAAGAAGGGTGTAACGTGGAAGGTAACGTCTTTCTGATGTTTCTTCAACTATAAAAGACGGCTTAGATGGGTGCTTTTTCTTTCCTCCATCCTCAGAGCTGTTTTCATGTGAAATGGCTGCTCTGTTTGAAGTGGGGTACCAGACCTAGGGTCCTGCTCTCTGACGACTCCTTATCGCTCAGAGGCAACTTCTGGGGATCGTCAGGGAACTTTAGGGCTGTTTGAAGTGCAGTTTAAAATCACTGACTTAGTCTTGGATTCATAGCAGATTTTGAGATTCTGAATCCCTCCTGCTTCTCAGTGTATACTTGTCATTTTGCTTCTCTCCACTTGTCAAAACAGTAAATAATACAGGTAATGCTTTGTTCACACTGGCTTGCTTTCAAAGACTCAGAATCTTAAGCTGGGGAAAAAGGATTCCAACCACACATTTCCTCTTCTGGTCTATGAGTCACTGGAGGAATTCCCCAGTAAGGCAGCATTCCTGAGAGTTAGGCTAGGCCAGGAGGACAGAATGCTCTGAGAGGGGTGGAGTCTGAGCAAGCCAGGCCAAGGGCTCAGTTGTTGGGCTTACAAGTACGTTGACTGTATCGCCCACAGGTGATGGAGGACGAGGAGAAGGCAGTGGAGAGCTTGGTGAGCAACACGGAAGCTGCCCATTCTCCATCCCCCATCCGCTGCTGCTGGCTCCGCCTCCGCTACATGGCAGCTACTAGCATTGTCTGTGGCTGCTCTTGCCTGGGAGTCATGGCTCTTGTGTTTGCCATCAAGGTGAGGAACACAATTCCTATGGGAGCAGGGGAGTGGGTGTTAGGCAGTGGTTTTGAATAGCTTTTCCACATTGATGAAACAGTTTCTAAATACTTATCAAGGCTTGGCTCTGGGCCTAGTGCCAGAAATAAGAATAAGACATGGTTCTTGCTGTGCTGTCAAAAGATACATAGTCTAGGGCCGGCCGGTGGCTCACTCGGGAGAGTGCGGTGCTGCTAACACCAAGGCCCCGGGTTTGGATCCTATATAGGGATGGCCAGTTAGCTCACTGGCTGAGCGTGGTGCTGACGACACCAAGCCAAGGGTTGAGATACCCTTACCAGTCATCTTTAGAAAAAAAAAAAAAGATACATAGTCTAATGAAAGAAAGGGTAGTGAAAGTGGATAATTTTTAATGGAATGCAGTTCATCGGTGCCATAATAGAGGAACACAGGGTACTAGGGATATATATGTGTGATTGTGTATGTGTGTATGGAAGAGTGAGTTACTGGAAAGGCATCTTAGGGGAGGTTACAGGAAAGTAATCTTACAGGATGAGTGGATAAGGGTGAATGGGCCTTCCAGGTAAAGGGAGCAGAGTGTACAGAGGCCTGGACTATTAGTTCAGCATGGCTGGACCAGTGAAGGATAGTGAGAGATGAAGCCAGAGGGCCCAATTCCTGAGGGCCTTCAATTCTGTGCTTAGGAGTTTTGAATTTATCTTGAAAGTACTGGGGAGCCATTGCAGGATTTTTGCAAGGGAGAGTGGTATGGTCAGATTTGTGTTTCAGAAAGATCCATTCTCAAGACCTACATGGAGGGTGGATTGTAAGGGACAAGACTGGAGGCAGCTGATCAGTTATGAGAACAATCTCCAGGAGTCTGGAAGAAGCTGTGGAGTTTTTGAGAAGGCTTCACTATTTCAAAAAACCTAACAGGAACTGCATGCGTACCTTTTGAAAGGCTACACAGGCTAACTTAACTATTGTGCTGGAATTTTCTCAACCCTAGATGATTTTAACAGTCAGAAACTGTTCCTATCATCATAAGAGCTTCTGGGTTTCATTAGGGCAAAATCACAAAAAGTTTCCTTAACGATGACAAAGGTGAGCCTATGGGGTGTTGTTTGACGGGTCATGAATGAAGTACAACAAGCTCACTGTTTGTTTCTTGCCAAGAATTCCAAATTCTGAATGAGTCTGGGATGGGTAGGAAAAAATGGGGAAAAAATGATTGAAAAGTACTTTCCCATATGTGATCTTATGAGCTAACTGTGGCTTTCCTGAAAAGTAGACAGGGCAGAGGTGGATAGCTCATTTTGCAGATGAGGCATAAGAGAAAATGGAAAGGGAGGTAGAGGGCTTGGGTGTGAGGTTTTGAGCTATGACAGGGATGGGGGAGTGGAGTGGGGTAATGGGCACTTTGGGGCAGAAGCAGAGGGAGAACCTAACCAAGAACCTGCCCCCACAGGCGGAAGAGCGGCATAAGGCAGGCCAATCCAAGGAGGCAGTGCACTGGGGGGCCCGGGCCCGGAGGTTCATCCTGGCCAGCTTTGTTGTCTGGCTTGCTGTCCTTGTTCTGGGCCCCCTGCTGCTGTGGCTGCTTTCCTACGCCATCGCTCAGGCTGAGTGACCCTGGGTGGCCTCTGCTGAGTCAGCCGAGACCTCCTGGATCCTGCAATGCGGCATTGCTAAGATCTGGTGACAGCAGTGGTCCTTCCTGGCTGGAAGGATGATGCCTTTCTCAAGGGGTTTTGGAAGAGCTCTTCTAGCCCTCATAAAAGGAGGGCAGCAGCTGAGACTGATAAGGGGAGGTCAGTCTGCTCTGTTCCTTCAGTGCCCACCACCCTCTATTTCCCCCACCACTCCCCATCCTGGGGGCCTCCACCCAGAGGAGGGGTTGAAGACCAGGCCTGATTTTATCAAAATTTGTTTTGTAATAAAAACCTTTTTTAGTGCTGAAATGTTCCTGTCTAATTGTTTTTCCCTGCTTTCCCCTGGGCCCTTGGTGAGATCCAGACTGGACATCTGACTGATGGCAGAAGCCTGCATGTCACCTCGTCTAGGAGCTCCAAGAGAAGGAAACCATTTTTTCTTCTGAAAGTTTCTCCTCTTATATGTAGCTTCTCCCTTACATATCAACAGGAGATCCTGAGGCCAGAGAGGAAGAGTACTACTGGTAGCAGCTGCTATTTTTTGAGTACTTTATTCCAGGTTGTGTTCTAAGCACATTATATTTCTTAGCTTCTGTCATCCCTCAGCAATGATTCAGTAGTAGGTACTCTTGTTCTCATTTTATAGTTAAGGAAACAGGCACAGATTTGCCCAAGGTCACTCAGCGAGTAAATGGCAGAGCTGTGATTGAACCTAGATAGTTTGGTTCCAGAGCTGAGAGAGGAAGGAAAGGGTTGGATAATAGCAACAACCACCCTGTATGGTTTTTGTATGATTATAATGAACTTTCACATCCTTTGTCTCAGGCCTCATGATAATGTTTTAAATATTTTTTAAATTGTGAAGTATATCACACATACAGGAAATTACCCAAAACAAATAACACAGTTCAATAAGTTAACACAAAGCAAACATCTGACTAACCACCATTCAGTCAAGAAACTGAACACTGCGAGCACTTCAAAGCCTCCTTTATAATCCTCCTGATCACTGCTCCTTCCTTTCTTCCCACGGGTAACTACCATTCTGACTTCTAAGAATGTAGTTTAATTTTTCCTGCATTTGAATTTTATATAAGTGGAATCATATGTATTCCTTTTATGTCTGGTTTCTAACATAGTGAGATCCATCAGTATTCAGTATAGCTATAGTTTTCTTTGCTATACAATATTCTTTTATGTGAATATATCACAATTTATACATTTTTGTTGGACTTTTGGGATGTTTCCAGCTGGGGGATATTTTGAATCATGCTGCTGAGGACATTCTTATACGTGCCTCTTGGAGTACATGTGTCCTGGGAATGGAATTTTGGGGTTACCTGACCATAATTCAGAGACCAGCAGAACTCCTAAAGGAATTAGAGATGTTGCATACTGAAGAGGTGAAGGGAAGAAGCACCTGATGGCTGGCTGTCTTCAATGTTCCAAAGTGTTCCAGGAAGGAAAAGTGAAGAGAATTCATTGGTGGTCCCAGAAGTAAGAATTACAATGGGTAGAAACCATACCCAGGGCAGTGGTTCTCAACCTTGACTTCACAATGGAGCTACCTGGGGAGCCTTAAAAAGTATTTATGCTCAAGGTCAGAGAGAGAGAGAGAGAGAGACACACACACACACACACACACACACACAAGTATTTATGCCTGGGTTTAAGTCTAGAATGCCCCAGAGATTCTGATTTAATTGGCGTGAGAGGCTTGCCTGGGCATCAGGATTTCTCAAAGTTTCTTGAGTGATTCTAGTGTACATAGTTTAAGAACAGAAGGCTCTCGGGCCGGCCCGGTGGCGCACTCCGTAGAGTGCGGCGCTTGGGAGCGCGGCGGGAGGGTTCAGATCCCATATAGAGACCGGTCCGCTCACTGGCTGAGCGCGGTGCGGGCGCGACACCGAGGGTTGTGATCCCGTTACCGGTCATGAAAAAAGACAAAAAAAAAAAAAAAAAAAGAACAGATGCTCTCTAGATAAGATTGTATTAGATTCACTCTACTAATTACTAAATCAGAAAGAAAAAAAATACATTTTAGGAACATTTTTACAGAAACACTTTTTGAGCTAATGTTTGATTAATCAGCAATTTTAGTTTACTATGAGAGAATATCCCATTCACCCAAACTGATTATATAAGTTCTTGCTATTTTTTAACTCTTTATTTTTAAAACATTCAAAAACAATAAAAGACTAATACAAAAAACTCATGAATACTCTTTAACTGGATTAATAATTTTTAATATTTCACCACATTTGTTATATCACTGAACCATTCAAGGGTAATTTACAGGCCCTTTATCTGTAATTTCATGATTTATCTCCTAAGAGCAAGTACATTCACTCACATAACTACAGTACAATTATATAATTCAGAGGAGTTGACATCTATATAATATTCTTTTTTTTTTTTTTTTTTTTCCTTTTTGTCTTTTTTCGTGACCGGCAATGGATCGCAACCCTCAGTGTCGCGTCCGTACCGGACCGGGACCGGCAACGGGATCGCAACCCTCAGTGTTGCGCCCGCACCTCGCTCAGCCAGTGAGCGGCCGATCTGTATGTGGGATCCAAACCCTCGGCGGGAGCGCTGCCACACTCCCAAGCGGCGCACTGTAGCAGTGCGCCACCGGGCCGGCCCCTCTATATAATATTCTAATATATAGTCCAAATTCAAATTTGCCGGTTGTCCCAGTAGCATCCCTTACAGCAATTTCTTTTCTGTGTTAGGATTCAAGTGGGAACACTCACTGTATTTAGTTGTCATGGTTCTTTAGTCTCCTTCAATTTTAAATAGCTCCTCATCCTTTTTTTTTTGTCTTTCCTTTAGTGACATTTGTGAGGCAAGGCCAGTTGTTTGTAGAATGTCCCTCAATTTAGATTCTTATAAGTAGATTCAAGTTATGATTTTTTTTTTGCAAAAAGACCATATAAATTGTGTGTCCTCAGTCCACATCAGAAGGCATATATTGGTTTGTCCTCTTATTGGTGGTGGTAGCATTGACAGCTTGGTTAAGGTAGTGTCTGTCATATTACTGCAAGGTAAAGATTCTTTTTTTTTCCCCTTAGTAATTAAAAAGTAATCTATATAGGGCCGAGCCCGTGGCGCACTCGGGAGAGTGCGGCGCTGGGAGCGTAGCAGTGCTCCCGCCGCGGGTTCGGATCCTATATAGGAATGGCCAGTGCGCTCACTGGCTGAGTGCGGTGCGGCCAGTCTCAAAAAGGACAAAAAAAAAAAAAAAAAAAAGTAATCTGTATAAATATCTTGTTCCCCAGCAAATTTTCAGCAGTGATTTTAATGCCTGTTAATTTTGCTGAAATCATTTATTACTGTGAGGCTTGTAAAATGTTGATGTTTTCACATCTACATGATGTCTTAAATGGACCTTTATCATTCTTTATGCATTTGTTAGTTGGCTTTCTACTGTAAAGAAAGTCTTTTTCTGCATTAATTTACATATATATATATATATATATATATATATATATTTTTTTTTTTTTTGCGACCGGTAAGGGGATCGTAACCCTTGGCTTGGTGTCGTCCGCACCGCTCTCAGCCAGTGAGCGCACCAGCCATCCCTATGTAGGATCTGAACCCGGGGCGCGAGTGCTGCTGCGCTCCCAGCGCCACACTCTCCCGAGTGAGCCACGGGGTCAGCCGTACTTATACTTTTTAATATCAGTATGACCTCAGATTGTTTTTTAGTTCAGTTTGTTATACTATTACTGTCATTATCCTTAAAATGCTTAGTTGAGGTATAATTTACGTACAGTAAAATGCACAGATCGTCAGTGTGCAGCTTGGTGAATGTTTTTATATGAATATACCTGGGTAGTCACCACCTGGGTGAATAGAACATTCGTAGCACATCAGAAGGCCTGCCTCATGACCCTCCCCTCATAATTATTTTGTCCCTGATTTTGACCCTTGGAAACCCCTTCAACCTGGTTGTTGTGTCCTTTTGATAAGTCCCCATCATTTTTTACTTACTTTCTGGCACAAATTGTTCCAGACTCATCTTGTATTTTCCCTGCTACCACCTGGGAATTGACAATTTCTCCCAAGGGGCCCTGGTTCCCTTTATTTGGGACTGTTATTTAGAAATCAGTATCTAGGGCCAGCCCGGTGGCACACTCGGTTGAGGGTGGTGCTTGGGAGCGCAGCGGCGCTCCCGCCAAGGGTTCGGATCCCATATAGAGACCAGTCAGCTCACTGGTTGAGCGCGGTGCGGGCGCGACACCGAGGGTTGCGATCCCATTACCGGTCACGAAAAAAGACAAAAAGGAAAAAAGAAGAAATCAGTATCTAGACACGAGGTGTGCTCATTGTACTGGGCTGTTACTACTTCTGGGCCCTTCCAGAGGTCAGAGCTAGAAAATACGTTATTTCATCTATTTTAAATCATTCTTCCAATTTCAGTCATCATACAGTCCTTCCTCTCCTTTCTGCGTTCTAGATTCCTTTTTCCCACATTATGAAGTAGGCTCCCAACTACATCATGTGTTTATTATAACTTACTCAGTTTCAGAATAATTGTCTTATTATACTACCAAAACCCAAACCTACTAAGGACAGTTCAAGATTTCTTTGCAATTCTTTTGTCTTTAAATTTATGGTATAAAGTCAACATACTTCGTAAAAAGTTACGCGGATTTACTTTTCTCCCCACATATGGTTGTGATCCCAGGCTGACATTTTTAAGGTAGCTATCGTTAGATTAAATGATTTCGTTGTGTTCTCTTTCGCTGGAACATAATCTCCACATGGATATGTTGTCACTGCTGTTAGTCCAGCGCATAAGTCTTAAGACGTTCAACAAATATTTGTTGAATGAGTAGGTGAATGCCAGTGCTGAGCTATGCACTGAAAAGGCTTATTATATCGCTTCTGGCAGAATCTCACAACCCGCTGGGCTTAGAACAGAGCTTGATACACTCCCAAGGCTTTTGAGAGGGGGTGAAAGATTGGGAAAGTGAATACTCCCAGATGGTAAGCATTAGGACTTTGGAGGTATTCTGAACGGCCACAGAACGAGGCCTCTTCTAGCTGGCTGAGTTCGCACCTAGTGGCAGAGCTGGGGTCCAAGCTTCGTGCGTCCAGGCGTTTTAAGGGCTGGAGTCTGCCCTTCAAGGCAGGAACTTTGGACCAGGCTGCTAATATTAAAAACAGCCAAATTCAGATAGGGATGCTGGGAAGAGACTGAGGGGGCCCCTGCCAAAGTCCGGGAACTGGAGGCGCAGCGAGGTCCTGCATCTCAGCTGCCCCACATCCCAGCTGTCACGCTTCCCGGTAAACCTAACTTCCGAGTCCCATCGCAGACCTACAACGCCCGTTGACAGCAAGCCCCGCCTTCTGCTGCCCCCTAGCAGATGCCGTACGCCGATTGGCCGTATCTGAAGCCCCGCCCGAGCGCCGCGCTCTGAGGTCACTCCGTGCTCCACCGCTCGCCGCAGCCCCGCTCTCTCGGCTTCCTATTGGACTACCAGTTTCCAATCGGAAGAGATTCTGAGCCGCAGTCTTCGGGCGGCGTTGCCATTGGTGGGCGGCGTGGGGCGGAGCCTCAGGTCGTCGCCGGTGCCGCCGGGGTAAGGTAAGGAACTAGAGGCGAAGCCGGCGACAGAGCGGCCTCGCGTCGACCCTGCCCTCTCTGCCCGCCCCCGCGGGTGAGCCTGCGCGAGACCCCGCGCCCCCTCCCCGTACCTGCTCAAGTGCGCCTGCGCGGCAACAGCCGCCCGCCCTTGAGCCCCTTCCCCGTTCTTCCTAGGCATTTCCCTTCCCCTTCCCCGTCCTCCTCCCTGCAGCTCCTCCCGCCCCAAGGCCCTTCTGAGGGGGCTCCCCAGTCCCGATCCTTCCCCAACCCCGTCCCCACCCCCCAAGACCCTGGCGCCCCAGCCGCAAGGGCTGCGCCTCCGGGAGCCGCGATGTGTGTCGTCTCAGAGCCTGTGGGCCTCTCTGCCCTCACTGCCCTCCGTCTCCTCCGCACAGTCCCCCACCTCCTTCAGAATGACGCTGGACGTGGGGCTGGAGGATGAGCTGCCCGACTGGGCCGCAGCCAAGGAGTTTTACCAGAAGTACGACCCTAAGGATGTCATTGGCAGGTGAGGGCGCGGCCAGGGAAACGGGGCTCCAGAGAGGTCAGGTCCTAGCCGGTATGCGCGGTTACATCTGAGGGCTGGATAGTTCTCAATGGGAAGGGTTAGTGGAGACTATTTGGTGACTAGACTCTTATTCTGGATCAATCCCCGTTTTTTCACGAGCTCATTCATTTATGCATTCAGCAAACATGGTTGAAGCACCTACTGTGTGCCAGAAACAAAGCTAAACACGGGGAGGGTAGAAGAGATGTCTTTGTCCTGGAGGCACTCCAGGTGAAGTGACCGAAAGAGGCACATGAACATTCTAAAGAGGCACATGAACATTTATCAGGCTAAATAGGTAGAGGTTTGTATAAAGTGCTGTGGGGTCCCAGAAAACCACAGCTTCCCAGAAGGAGTGATCTTTGAGTTGGGAATGAGTAGGAATTCAGCACGCAGAGGATAGAAGGAAGGCCTCACCTGTAGAGGCAGTGGCAGATACATATATTCCTCAAAGGTTTTTTAAACTCATACAATGTGCTGGGTGTGCTGTATTAAGCAGTGGGGATACAGATCCATAAGGTTTCTGTCCTGTAGTTTATATTCTGTTGGTGGAGGCAGACAGTAAACACAGAAACAAGATAAAGATCAAACTGAGTGCTAGGGAGAAAATAAATAGGGCAATAGAATGAGCGTAATTAATGAAGGCCACTATCAATAAGGAGGTCTGGGAGAGCTTTCCTGAGGAAGTGAGTTTTGAGCTGAGATCCATGTGGGCTAGAATGTAGTAAGGGTGGAAAAGGTAGAAGAAATTAAGTTGGAGAGGTGAATAGAGGTTAGATTATATAAGAGCCTTAGGCCATGATAAGGAATTTAAATTTTATTCTAGTGAAACCAAATGGTTTCTAACAAGGTAGTAACATGATGTGTTGTATATTTCTGTGATTTGAGAGCAAGGAACTTAACCTTTTTGTGCTTAGTTTCTCCCTTGTAAATTGGAAATAAAAATAGAGCCTACCTTGTAGGTTGCTGTGAGGATGGCATGAGTTCATATGATATCTTTAGAACACTTCTCAGCACATGGTAAGCACTCGATACATATGTGTCATTATTACATTTTAAAAAGATCATTCTGGCTCCTGTGTAGAGAATGGAAAGGAGAGGGGCAAGAATGAAAGCAGAGATCAATTAGGAGCTATTGATTCATTCAGGCTAGAGATGGTGATGGTTTAGATTAAAGTGGTGGTGGTGGAGATGGAGAGAAGTGAATAGATTTAGGTGATGGTTTAGAGGGAGATTTGATACAACTTCCTGAAGGATCGGATATGGACCATGGGGGAAATGGGGAAAACAAGGATAACTTCCAGGATTTGGATTTGAGTGCTTGAGTACCATTTATTGAATGAAGAAGGCTGAGGGAGGATCAGATTGGGAGTTGGGGTGAGTAAATCAAGAGTTCTTTTTCAGAAATGTTTAGTTTGAGGGCCGGCCCGTGGCTCACCGGGAGAATATGGTGTTGATAACACCAAGGCCATGGGTTTGGATCCCTATATAGGGATGGCTAGTTAGCTCACTTGGGAGAGCATGGTGCTAACAACACTAAGTCAAGGGTTAAGATTCCCTTACCAGTCATCTTTTAAAAAAAAAAAAAAGAAAGAAATGTTTAGTTCAAGATATCCAAGTGGCACTGTCAAGTGGGTATATGGGTCTGGAACTCAAGGGAGAAGGCTGGGCTAGAGATCTGAATTTGGGAAGCATCAGCATTAGGTAGTAGTTATGGGGAGAGAGTATAGATAGAGAAAGTGAAAGGGGCCTAGGCTCAGGCTCTAGGGCATGTCACCATTAAGGGGTCAGTTAGAGAAAGAGGAGCCAGCACGGGAGACTGAAGAGATGGCATCTACTAATTAGAAAAAAAAACACAAGAAGAATGTGCTTCTGGAAGGTTGGCATGGTCTGCTGTGTCAAATGCTGCTGAGGCCATGAAAGCAGACAGGAGTGTAACTGTCAGATTTGGCCAGACTCCTTTTAGATATGACATGGAGATGTCAATAAGGCAGTCAGAATCAGGAATTCTGGAGAGATATCAAGGCTTGAGACAGTATAGTGGGAATCATTTGCACATAGAAGGTATTTAAAGCCCCAGGGACTGGATGGAGGTCACCAGGAGAAAGATATTGGGGAGGAAAGAGAACCCAGATCCAATTCCTGAAGCACTGCAGGGTTTTTGTACAGGTAAAGGAGGATGCACTGAGATGGAGAAGAGCCCATAGGGAAGAACCTAACAGTGGCTCCACTGCCAAGGGGAGCAGAAAGATCAGTTTTGGTAGAGGCAGATCAGAGGGTAGGGTCTTTACTGTCTCATTTCAAGATTACTGTGGTAGCATCATCCCTTGTCTTTCTCTTCTATCTTTTCTTTTTATTTGTCCCGCACAGTAAATTACTTGCACACTCTCACTAAATTACTTTACCCAGAGTACCAGTTTCTTCGTGGATAAGCTTGAAACTTTTTTTTCTTTTTTGGCTGCTGGCCTGTATAGAGAATCAAACCCTTGACCTTGGTGTTACCAGCACCATGCTGTAACTAACTGAGCTAACTGGCCAGCCTGGCTTGAAGTTTAAAAGAGATTGGCACGGGCCGGCCCGTGGCTCACTCGGGAGAGTGCGGTGCTGATAACACCAAGGCCACGGGTTCGGATCCCATATAGGGATGGCCGGTTAGCTCACTTGGGAGAGCGTGGTGCTGACAACACCAAGCCAAGGGTTAAGATCCCCTTACCAGTCATCTTTTTAAAAAATAATAAATAAATAAAATAAAATAAAAAAATAAAAGAGCTTGGCACATTCTAGAAATCAGTGACAAGTTATAAGTCACTGAAGCAAAAATTGAATAGTGTGGCTGTAGTCAGAGATGAGGCTGAAAACAGACTGAGCCGTTTGGTGAAGGCCATGAATGACTGGTGAAGCAACTGGGATTTGACTTTTATCTTGTAGGTAGTAATAAGAGACAGCATGGAAAGAAGATAAGAATTTTGAGTGCACCCCACAATTAGCTATAAGATTGAAAGTATTAGATATCATTTAAAAAGAGATGGGCCGGCCCAGTGGCGCACTGGAGAGTGCACCGCTTGGGAGCGCGGCTGCGCTCCTGCCGAGGGTTCGGATCCCGTGTGGTGACCAGTTCCCGCTCACTGGCTGAGCACGGCTTGGGCGCAACACTGAGGCTTGCGATCCCGCTGCTGGTCCCCGGTACAGGTGCGACACTGAGGGTTGCGATCCCGTTACCGGTCAGTAAAAAAAGACAAAAAGAAAAAAAAAAAAATTAAAAAAATAAAAAGAGGACAGTTACTCTAAGGGTCCTGCTGAGGAATCAGGGAACACTTAGAACTCAGTAGAGCATTTAAGCTGGGAACTCTTTAAGCAGCAAATGACATGATTGGGACTATATTTTAGGAAGCTAATTCTAGAAGCAATGGGTTGGATGGGTTGCAGGGGCTGAGACTGGCAGCAGGAAGATCAGTGAGGAGTCTGTTAGTCGTCTAGGTTAGAAAGACAGGGCCTGAGCCAAGGCAGTGGCAGTTGGGGGTGGAGCCTTAGGAGATAGATTAGAGAGCTCTGCAGAGTGGATTGGAGTGGTTAGATATAGATTGTGAGGGAGAAGGAGAAGCCAAGAATGGCACCCAGGATTCTAGCTTGGGAGTCTAATTAGATGGCAACACCATTAATTGAGGTCAGGAGTATGGAGAAAGGAGCCGGTTTCAGGGGAGATGACGTGTTCAGTGGTCATGATGCATGTGAAATGTCTCTAGGACCCTCAGGAAGAGGTGTCCAGTAAGACATGTTGGCCTGATGCTTGAGGCAGACATCTGGGGCATGGAGGTGCATAGGATTACTGAGGGAGAGTGTATATAGCCTGAGAACAGGGTCAAGGATGGGACCCTGGGGAAGTCTAACATTTAAGGAGTAGGCAGAGAACAAGGCAATGGGGAATAGCAGTAGAAAGGAATTTGGGGCCGGCCCGTGGCTCACTTGGGAGAATGTGGTGCTGATAACACCAAGGCCAAGGGTTTGGATCCCTATATAGGGATGGCTGGTTAGCTCACTTGGGAGAGTATGGTGCTGATAACACCAAGTCAAGGATTTAAGATCCCCTTACTGGTCATCTTTTTTTTAAATGGACTTTGAGTCAGAAGACTAGGGTTTCCCACACAGATAGTCATGATACATAGTCATGATATACTACTTAAGAGTGAATGTTCTGTACTGTCACACTGACCATTAAAAAAAAAAAAGTAAATACTCTTAGGGGTAAAATGCCGTGGGACGCCAGAGAAGAGAATGGTCCCTTCCTCTGAAGAATAAACAAAGAATTGGCAGAGGTAGCATTTAGTTTGGGCCTTAAAGTAGGGATTCTTAGCTGGATGGCCAGGCTCAGGGGATCTTTGAACCCCCTGAAATTGTAAAAATGTATGTACATGGTAGAGGTGTGCAGCTTTCATCAGATTCTCAAAGAGGTTTATTAAAGATGAATAATAATTAGACAATGGGCCTCAAGTTCAGATGCCCTTAGTGGTTGGGCAGGAAATTAAAACCATAAAGGGCCAAGAGTAAGACAGTAGGAAGTGCTGAGTATTGTGGTAGCTGGAGGGTTCTTGTCCCACCTAAGATATGTGAATTCAGATTTGTGAAAAACATTGCGCTTCCAAAACATAACACATCTGTGGGCTGTGTTTGGCCTGAGGGTCAGTAGTTTGCATCTCTTGATTTAACCAGAGAGGTGGGTGACAGAACTCCAAACAGAGGCAGTTATGTGAGGCCAGGGAGGCCCCCAAGAGCACAGCAATAAGGCTCATGTGAAGAACAACTGGGGAATGAGAATAACAAATGTAGTTTGAAGCCAGATCCTTGGGGGATTTGCACCTTAGTCTGAGTTATTTGTAGGGTCATATGTAGTTGGTGACAGAGCCCTAGCAAGGAAATCCCTGTCTAGGACTTTCTCTTAGGAAAGCCAAGTGGACTTTCCTGTCTTTGTCTCATTAATGCCTTTCAATATCCCTTCAAGATATTGTTGGCCACATTGAGAACTGCAAAAGCTAAAACCCAGAGATCTTATGTGAGCTGCTTGGAGGTTAATTGGTAGCAAATTGGGGGCCTAAACTAAGGTCTAATTCTTTTTTTTTTTTTTTGACCAGTAAGGGGATTGCAACCCCTGGCACAGTGTGGTCTGCACCACGCTCAGCCAGTGAGCGCACCGGCTATCCCTATATAGGATGCAAACCCGCGGCCTTGGCGCTACCAATGCCGCACTCTCCCGAGTGAGCCACGGGTCCAGCCCCTAAGGTCTAATTCTTAACATTGGTCTTCTAGTCAATGGCTCCATATTTATTTGGAGCCTCCTACACCTGAGGTATTAGAGGGAAACTGTGGGATTTGGACGGGGTAATCAGGGAACTGTGAGTGAAATATGGAAGGAGATGTAGATGATTTCTTCCCCCTTCCTGCAAGAGGCAGGTTCTGGGGCTCAGTGTGGAAAGGACTTGCCTTGGCTTACCTGTGGAGGGAGTGGCAGAACGTGGATTTGAAACCAGATCCCCTGCCTACCTTCCCTATGAGGTAGCTTCATGTTGCACCTTGCCGGGTACCCATGTTCCTGAGGCTACTGTGAAGCTACTGTAGGCCAGGGTGAGCCCCTGGGGTAACTGCCCTGTTGTCCAGGTGGGTCTTCAGAGTCTGGTGCAGTGGGCATGAGGACACTGAGGCTCTGTTGTATGTAGAAAGGGAGACTGTAGGAGGCCCTGACTTGTGCTGTTGTCTGGCTCTGGCAGAGGAGTAAGCTCTGTGGTCCGCCGTTGTGTTCATCGAGCTACTGGCCATGAGTTTGCAGTGAAGATTATGGAGGTGACAGCTGAGCGGCTGAGTCCTGAGCAGCTGGAGGAGGTGCGGGAAGCCACACGGCGAGAGACACACATCCTTCGCCAGGTCGCCGGCCACCCCCACATCAGTGAGGCTGCATTCCCTGCTCCTGTTAGCCGACAACCCCACTACCAACTGCCCACAGCCCCCTTCCCCCAACAGTGCCTCCATGCCTCTCCTCCCTTCCTGGTTTTGTTCCACTTCAAAGAGTGGCCAGCCTTTGGGTCCCTACTGCCTCCTTTGGTTCTCCTTCCTTCCCAGTAACAGCCCACTGCTGCCTCAGGTGGAAAAGCCCATTTAATATGTACCTGCTTCTTCCCATTTCTGTCTCTCTGCCTTTCTATCTCTTTCCCCAGTCACTCTCATCGATTCCTACGAGTCTTCTAGCTTCATGTTCCTGGTATTTGATCTGTGAGTATCTCCTTGTCCTGATCTGAAAAGCCGCCTCCCCACCTCCATGTATGGCCCCAATCTTACAGCTCAGTGGGCTGAAGACTACCCTGTTCACACCTTCCTCTGTTACAGCAAGGGCTCTCTCTACCACCTTGGCCTGCCTGCAGCCTATGGCTCTGGCCCTTTCCCTAGGTTCTATGAATGAAGCAAGTTCTTCAAGAGTGACAGTGATCAGTCAAATACAAAGAGTTCTCATGGCCCAAGGGGTCACTATCCAGTACCCCATGGTTATAAAGTGAGCAGGGGAAAAAGCTGTTTTAAGAGGAGAGTGTTCAACGATGAACTGACCACTTATAAAACAGATCCTCACTCACCAGTCTCTCCTTGTTTAACACATACCCTGATGTCTCTCTCTGCCCATTAGTTCTTTTCCTGATCAGTCTACTCAAGTGTCAGATGTTATACAATATAATGCAAACTGATTACAAAGGTACTTCGGGGGTTCAAAAGAGAACAAATACGAAAGAGTTAAAATGTGCCCTTGGAAAAAAATTCATGAAGCCTTCAGTGTATTTACAGAAATGACCCTCTGCAAAAGTCATAGGGAGAGTAGGGAATGTCTGTTACACTATCATGCAATTTTGCAGGACAATGACACTCCCCAAAACAATACCTGATATATTCTTTATTTTGAGGATTGATGCAGAGTTGCAATTATAAGCTCTCTCTCTTTTTTTTTTTTGGTAGCTGGCCAGTATGGGACATACCCTCAATTTTTAAAGACAAGATAAAATAAAATTTCAAAATAAAGTCCTATTCAACCTTTTTGCCACTATTAACTGAAATTCTGGGGTTTTTAAATTTTTTTATTTTTTGACCGGTAAGGGGATCGCAACGCTTGGCACGGTGTGGTCTGCACCACGCTCAGCCAGTGAGTACACCGGCCATCCCTATATAGGATCTGAACCCGCAGCCTCGGTGCTACCAGCACTGCACTCTCCCAAGTGAGCCACAGGGCCAGCCCGAAATTCTGGTTTATGTTCTAAAGAGAATTACTTTAAGAGGACTTTTTAAGGTATAGTTATTCTCAGATAAAAAGAACCTCCTGTAAATATTATCCCAAGAAGCCACTTATCCTTGCTAAAATTACCCCATCACAGTCCAGTGCAGATATTTCAAACACCAATCCACTGGACCAAACTGCCCTGGTGTCTAGTTCACTCTTGGAGTGCTCTGTTTTGTGACTCTTTGGTTTGTCCGCAGAGGAATCTCTGTTTTCTGGCTTCTACCATGATATTTTATGTGAGCACTGGCTTATCTTCTCAGTCCCCACTGTGGGGTGAATCAACCTCCTGTGCCCCTCCTGTCCCTTAGGATGCGGAAGGGAGAGCTGTTTGACTATCTCACAGAGAAGGTGGCCCTCTCAGAAAAGGAAACCAGGTAATGGCTGAGCCTGCAGCCCCTGGGGTGAGCAGGGAATGGGGTGGGGCAGGGAGAAGCAGAGGAGGAGACTGCGCCTCCCCCAGGTCCATCATGAGGTCTCTGCTGGAAGCAGTGAGCTTTCTCCATGCCAACAACATTGTGCACCGAGACCTGAAGCCCGAGAATATTCTCCTAGATGACAATATGCAGATCCGACTTTCAGATTTTGGGTTCTCCTGCCACTTGGAACCTGGCGAGAAGCTTCGAGGTGAGGGCATCTTGTGCCTTAAGATGCTTGGGAGGGAAGGAGACTGAGGCCTAAGGATGGTTGGCTGGGTCTGAGTACTGAGTCCCAGGTACCAAGGAAAGGGGAGAAGTCAGTGAGCGCTTGCCAAGTACCCTCTGGGTGTAGAGCCTTGTGTGCAACTCAGAGTGGCTGTCCTGACCTGGGGATGATGGAGACAGATAAATGAGCAGACAGTGGTGCCCAGCAGGCACAGGGCCATGCCAGGGAAGCTGAGAGGAAGGAGCATCATCAGCCTGAGTGACCCACAGAGGAGGGGTCTCCCAGGCTGGGCCTTGTTCCAGGAGGAAAAAGAGGGAGCAGGGGATAACAGGGCTCAGCGGTGTGCTTGGGATCTGGAGGAGACAGGATCAGTGTGATCCTTAGGTGTGCTGTGAGGAGCCTGATGTGTCTAGGCGGCACTTCCCACCTGGGGTCCCAGGACTCGGGCTTACCTAGTCCAGTGTTAATGCGTTTGTTGTGACAGAAATCTTTCTAGTGCACATGGGAAACGTTAAAGAAAGTTCAACTGTGGGACTCCTCAGAGGCTTTAATATGCTACTATCTCCCTCAATGGCTTTGCACTGGATTTATTAATAGCTAACATTTACTGGCACTTTCTGTGATGTAGGCACCACACAAAGCTTTACATGGCTTATTTCTTTAAGCCATCTCCATAACCCTATGATAGGTAGTGTCTCCTTTTTATAGATGGGCTTAAAGAGCTGAGATGACTTGCCCAAGGTCAAAGGGCCAAGATATGAACTTGGCAGTCTGACTCCAGAGCTCATGCTTTTAACCTGTGGATTTATATGTCTTATGGATGCAGCATTTTATTTCCCTTTGGGCTTCCACTAATCCTTTTCCCCTTTCTGGAATCATCTTTGCCCCTGCCCACTCTGCCTTCTCCCTTGGCTCAGATAATTCAGGTTTCATTTTAAACCTCCAGGTCAGGTTAGGTTCCCCTGCTTTTTGTTGTTATATCTTCTCCCTTCACGACACACATCTTATTCTATGGTTATTTCTTGTTTGCTTTTTGGTAGACAGCCCAGTAGGGGCACATCTAATTTACCACTGTGTCTCATACGGTGCTTGGTACATGCTAGGCATTCAATAAATACTTGGTGTAGGAATGAATTTCCCAGGACAGTAATTTTCAATTCAGGCCTATTGAAATCTCCTGGAGGTGTGCCATGGTACACAGTTTGGAAAGTGCTGGCCTGGAAGAATTGATACCTGAGTGGTAGAAGAAAATACAGATGTGGATCAAATTATGGTGGGCTCTGTGCTGCAGGAGTCTAGACTTGATCCTGATGCCATGGTGGAGAGTCATGGAAGGGTTTTAAACAGAGGACTTACCCAGTATGTGCTTTAGAAATCCCATATTTTCACTTGTTCCCCTTGGGTTGAGTTGTGACTTCATGAACCAGAGTGGAGATTATCAGAAGAGGAATAGGTTTTGGCAGAAAGGGATGCACAGAAGATTTAGGTCTTGTTTTCCATATATACTATGTATGTAAAAACGTGGTAGCAAGTTGTGTGAGGAGTGGGTAAGTTGGCTTGTCTGGAGGGTTGGAGGAGGCAAATCATACACCTGGGTAGGACCCTGAAGTTAATGCCAAACCCAGGTTTTCCTAGGAAGGCCACCAGGAACCTTGGTGTTGTTCAGCAGGGATAGTGTATAGTACTGAGACTTGGCAGAAGGCAAGTGGGAGCAGAATGGGAACACTGGTGGCCCTGGTAGTGTGGAGGAGGCTCCAGCAGAGATATGGTGTTAAGGGCCCTGGAGGGAGCTGGTAACATCTCCTCAATCTTGACCTTCTCTCCCCAGATTTGTGTGGGACCCCGGGGTATCTAGCACCAGAGATCCTTAAATGCTCCATGGATGAAACCCACCCAGGCTATGGCAAGGAGGTCGACCTGTGAGTTTCTAGTCTCCCCCTCCCTCCTCCTGTGTTTACTGTCCTTCAACTCACATTTGACTGTCACCTAGTCCTGCCTGACTCTGGTCTCTTTCTCAGCTGGGCCTGTGGGGTGATCTTGTTCACACTCCTGGCTGGGTCACCACCATTCTGGCACCGGCGCCAGATCCTGATGTTACGCATGATCATGGAGGGCCAGTACCAGTTTAGTTCACCTGAGTGGGATGACCGATCAAACACTGTCAAAGACCTGGTGAGCCGGGATCATGAGAGGACACTGGGGGAGGCCCAAGAGCTGCCCTTCATGCTCTGGGGTTTCTCCTAGATCTCAAGGCTGCTGCAGGTGGATCCTGAGAAGCGCCTAACAGCTGAGCAAGCCCTACAGCACCCCTTCTTTGAGCGTTGTGAAGGCAGCCAACCCTGGAACCTCACCCCCCGTCAGCGGTTCCGGGTAAGCCTGACAGTGTCATGGTTTGTGTCTCTGTCCCATGATCTTTCTCCTGTGTTTCTCCACTGGAGCTCACGCTGGCCCCCCTTCCCAGGTGGCAGTGTGGACAGTGCTGGCTGCTGGACGAGTGGCCCTAAGTACCCACCGTGTGCGGCCACTGACCAAGAGTGCCCTATTGCGGGATCCTTATGCACTGCGGTCTGTGCGGCGCCTCATTGACAACTGTGCCTTCCGGCTCTATGGGCACTGGGTGAAGAAGGGCGAGCAGCAGAACCGGGCAGCCCTCTTTCAGCACCGGCCCCTTGGGCCTTTTCCCATCATGGGCCCTGAAGAGGAGGGGGACTCAGCTACTGTCACTGAGGATGAGGCTGCACTGGTGCTGGGCTAGGACATCAGCCCAGGGGAATCCTAGAAAGCAAGACTTTCCAGGAAGATTTTTATTATTCCAGCCCCTCTGGGCTCTAGCCTCTGGCCCCCCTGCCTAACCAGGCCCACCTGATCATGTTACTATCATAAATACCAACCCTGTACACCTACCCCCGCTGGCCAGGGCCTTGAGATCAGAGCTGGTGTGGAAAGGAGCCACTCCGAATGCCATGCCTGGCCGTGTTAGTGCTACATAAGAAATAAAATCTGCTGCACACCAGGGAGAGCAAGTGCCCCATGTCTGGTGTCTGGCTGCAGCAGGGAAGCCCAGAAAGTGCTCAGGGGTGGGGGGACAGAGGCAGGGATGGGGCTGCTCTGGCCAAGGCCTTTATTGGAGAAAATGCTGGGGATCACTTAGTCTTGTTCTTGCCTTTGCTTGGAGGTGGCTGAAAGGGTCGCTCTAGTGCGGTCAACTTGCTGCTGAGCCTTTCCTCGCTGGCCTTCAGCTGCTCCTCAACCAGCTGTTGCAGCTGCCCCAGCTCCTTGTTTAGCTGGGTCTTGATGTAGGCTCGGAGGACACAGACCTGACCTGCAGGGTCAGGGAGGCAGAGGTGGGTCAGGAGAGCTGCCGTCTGGGAATGAGAGACTGTATCTAGCTGGGTGAACACAACCCCCAAGGTGCACCTGGGGGCTCACAGGTGGCAGTGTTGCTTCAATTTAGGAAATGTCAGCCAGTCTTCTGTGAGAGACAGTTGGGCAGAGTGGCTGTGCTGGACAAATTCTGATTTGTTACTTAGTAGCTGTGTGACCTTAGGCAGGTTATGTGTGTGTCCCTTTCTGTGCCTCAGTTTCCTCTTGTGAAATGTGAATAATAATGACACCTAGCATGTAGGTTTTAGGGAGGATTAAATGAATTCATATATGTAAAATGCTTAAGAACAGGGCATGTCTGCTGCACTTATTGCCAAATATGTGCTGGCTATTATTGTCAGTGGTTTTCTAATCATCCTCTTTCTGGAGCCACCTCTTCTGCCCCACCCTGAGCAGCTGTGCTTTTATCTATTTGTCATCTTGGCCTTCTGCATAGGGAATCATTTGGAGAAAGGACACCATAACTATAAACAAAAAGTCTGAAGTCCTGATGTGGTCCAAACCCTTCATTTTACACCTGCTTAGAGTCACTGGGCACCCTAACCCCTCCAGATCCTCACTTGGCTCTTGCTCTGGCTGGGCCACTGTCTCCAATTCCTTCTCCTGTGGGGTGACTGCCTGCTCCTCCACCTCCTCGCTGCCTTCTTTCTCTGCAAGCCAGAAGCAGGAAGAGGCCTCAGCCCCAGCCCTAGCCCACCCCTAGCCCTAGCACTCTCTCTTACCCATCTTACCCTCTGGCCAGACCTCAGGTGGCTGTAGCCCCATGTAAGTCAAAGATAGATCCAGCTGCACCTGGGAAGAGAGGAAGAGGGAGACTAAGAGGAGGGCACCTGCACTGAGGGAGAGGGGGAGATGAGGGATGGCCTCTTGTAATCTGTAGCCCAGTACCTGGGGCGTGAAGACATATTTGTAGAGCTTGAAGTGGCGAAAGTAGGTGTTGACCACATAGTCTGCCACTTCCAGCAGCTGTTTCTCCTTGAAGAGGTCGATGCTGAAGGGGGGCCGCTGTGGTGATGACTGGGAGTTAGAGCACTGACTACTTTGAAGCCCTGGCCTTTCCTCCAAGAGCCCAGCAATCTAAGAGCAGGGAGAGCCCACTGTGGCCTTGAGAAGAAGATGAGGGTGGTGAGTGTGAGAGAGGAGGGAGACTGGGCTAGACCTTATCTGGGGGAGGGAGAAAGTTCTGTTCCAGGCAAACTGACCCTGACTCCATGGCAAAAAAGAACACTGGTGAAGTAGCGGTAGCATTCCTCCACGTTGCCCAAGGGGGTTGCTGGTAGGGGAAGTGAGACACAGCCATGAGTCCCCTCCCTGATAATCATTCATTAGTTTCTTTTCTTTTTTTTTTTTAAAAGATGACCAGTAACGGGATCTTAACCCTTGACTTGGTGTTGTCAGCACCATGCTCACCCAGTGAGCTAACCGGCCATCCCTATATGGGATCCGAACCTGTAGCCTTGGTGTTATCAGCACCACATTCTCCCGAGTGAGCCACAGGCCAGCCAATCATTCATTCATTTCACTCACTCAGCAGCTACTTGAGGAACATGAGCTTCACAGGTGGACAGATCTAAGTTTAAGTCCCGGCTCGTTTCCTTAATTCACTCAACAAATACTGAGTGCCCAGTATGTACTGTTTTAGGCTCCAAACAAGACACACTAGTCCTGCCTTATGAAGCTTAAATCCTAGTGGAAGTTACATACAACAAACCAAGAAATATATAATTTTGGGTTATTGTTAAACGTTTTGAAGAAAATCAGTCCAGGAATAAAAGGGAGTGGGGGTGGGGAAGCAGGAGCTATTTTATGAGTACTATGCATATATTTACATCTTTTATTTCTGAGAACAGTCCCATAAAATTAGTGCCATATCCTTAATTTATAGATATGGAAACAGGATGTCCAAGGCAATAACTTGTATGTGACACTACTGCTAGTAATGACAAAACAAATATTCCAGGGGTAATCCCCCTACTTCTGCTTCCCATAGTCCTTTATGCCAGCCAGCCCAGCTGCCTCCTCTCCCTGGGGCTCAAACCTTCTTGTAGCTGCCTCCCTCTCACCAACACAGGCCTTGTGAAGGTCTTGGAGCAGGGCACAAGCCGCTGATGTCTGCTCCAGTGAGAAGCCCTGCTGGCGGCAGAAGATGAGTGCATGGGAGAAGAGGTCCAGGGTGATGGCATCCCGCAGGCTCTGCTCAGGATGGCCTAGTTCCAACAGCTCAGCCAGCACCCTTGGGAGGGAGAAGGAAGGAGTGACAACAGGAACCTCCCCTCCTCACCCCACACTCACCACATGCTTTAGAGCCAGCCATTCCTCATGTCTTCCCAACCCACCCCCTCAGCCTTCCCCAAGAGCTCTTTTTCCCCTCCCTGCTCAGTCCCATACTCCCTCATCTCCTCAATGCTGGCTGTCTTCTCCAGCCGGTGCATGGAATGGATGTCCAGGTACTTCCTGTTGTAAGAAAAGAGAAGTATTGGTGGCCGTTACACAGTAGTCTCATGACAGGGCTATGAAGGCTAGAGCATCAGACTGGGAATGAGGAGACCCGAGTTTTTGAGGCTTGGCTTTTTTACTAGCTGTGTGACCTCCCTTGCTGGACCTCACTTTCTTCATCTGTAAATGAGTGGTATGGCCTAAATGAACTCTTACGATCCTCTATTTATAAAGCCTTGGATTAGCAAACTTGAGTTCTTGTCTCTGTTCTGCCATTACTTTGCTGTATGACCTTGGTTAAGTCCTCCCCATGGGCCTCAGTGTCCCCGTTTATACAGTGCTCCATAGCACCTGTGATATCATTTACATCTCTTTACAAACTGCCTTTTTTGGACTGGGGAGGCTGAAAAGCTGGCTTCTAATCACCTTGAGTAATTGCATGCCTGAGCCTCAGTCTCCTCATCTGTAAAAAGGGGATGCCCTGGCTGCTGGACAGGACTGTTAGGGAGGCACTAAAAGAATAATGCAAGTGTGAAGTCTAACTTTCCCCCGGGGCTCCCATACTCACCACATGCAGATCCGGGGCTGGGGCGGTGGCGGCTGCGGAGAGAAAGTGGATTGGGGAAGGCAGAGCTGTTTTGTATCTGGCCCCTAGTCCCTGGCCTATTGCGAATCTCCAGCGGGCCTGAGAACGCGCTGTAACTGGCCTGCTCATTTCAAGAACTATGTACGAGCAACGCGGGCAGGGCTGGGCTCCAGCAGGCCGTAAGTATTATTCAAGAGCACATTAACAGCGGAGATCACACAGCCCCTACCTCTCTAAACAATAGGCAGCCCGAGAATCGTCCGAACGTTAGTAAACATAATGGCGGTGGCGCCCTGCCCCGGAACCCCTTTGTAAATATTCACGAGCGGACCACTCTGTCCCGCTCTCACCGGGAACAAGTTGGCTCCAGGATCGTCATCCGCTCCCACGGAAGCCAGCGCCAAGGCTGCCGCCAAGCCGGCCCGCACTCCTGTTCCCATCCGCGCGGCCGATTCGCCCACTGAGCTGAGCCCCTTCTCCGGCTCCCGCCGCAGTTCGGAGGGCTGTTCAAGCTCAGACTGCACCCGCACTCCCAGGAACTGGCTGGACTTCTGGCTGATCATCTCCCCGCTCCGTGTCGCGGGCCACCGCAAGCTCTGTCCCGCCTCGGTTCTGGGACAGGAAGTTCTCGGGCAGCGACTGGCAAGGCTTGGCCCATCCGCGACGCTTCAGCTAATCCGCGTGGACGTCTCCCTCTGTCTCAACAGCGACCGTTGCTAAGGGGGCTTGTGAAGGAAGGAAGGGAGAAAGTGCAGGCACACGCCAACCAGGGAGAGGGGGGCGCGCGTGCGCATAGGGTGCACGTGCCTACCCGGGTGCCCGCTCGTGGAGGTGCGGATGGGAGGGCCCGCGAAGTCCTCAGGGTTGGGAAGTGGCAGTGCGGTGTCAGTTACCATGGGAACTGCCTACTGGCCAATCACTGAGAGAAAGAGGAGGTGTTCAGGAAGAAGCCGAACGACCCCAGGGGCGGGACCAAGCGCGACCAATAGGAGCAAGAAGTGGAGAAGGTTCGCCACATCCGTCGCTGCCTCTGGCGCCTGCGCCCGGTGCCGGGGGCCGTTGACATCCGGTGAGATCCAAGATGGCGGCGTTACGCTGCCCCTGCTGCCGGTAAGGGCCCCGGGGGGGCAGGGTCGGTAGCCGGCGGGTGTGTATGGGGCTGCTGGGGTTCCGAGCTGGGGAGCACCGGCCGCTTCCACGTCTGTGCTTTCTGTCTTCTACAGGTGACGGAAGTGCCGCCTCCGCCCTCCTGACGCCTCTCGGGGGACCCTGCGCCGCTGCTTCTCGCCGCCGCTGCCATGTCTGGGCCCGGCAACAAACGCGCCGCAGGCGACGGGAGCTCAGGGCCTCCAGAGAAGAAATCGAGCCGCGAGGAGAAGACCACCACCACTCTTATCGAGCCCATTCGTCTCGGGGGCATTTCTTCCACGGTTCGTGGGCTTCTGCCCTAGCTCTCTGAACTTGGCAGACTCTATCTCTGTTTTCGACCCAAACCGTCCAGAATCTTACTCCCAGTTCCCCAAACGTGGCAAGGTCCATTTCACAGAACACTCTGTTGAAGGAAAACAAGAAGAACACGATGTCTGCCTTCGCTTTGCAGATAGGAAAACAGGTTCCCAGAGGGTGCATGATTTGTCAAAGACTTCAGAGTTAAGGAAGGGATAGAGGCAGAAGCAGAATGTGAACCTCCTCACAACCAAGACGCTTTCTTTGTGGGTGTCTGAGCCTCTTTGAAAACCTGTTAGCACTGGGCTGGCCCGTGGCTCATTTGGGAGAGTGTGGTGCTGATAACACCAAGGCCACGGGTTCGGATCCCTATATAGGGATGGCCGGTTAGCTCACTAGGGAGAGCGTGGTGCTGACACCACCAAGTCAAGGGTAAAGATCGTCTTACCGGTCATCTTTTTATTTTATTTTATTTTTTTTTTTAAAGATGACCGGTAAGGGGATCTCAACCCTTGACTTGGTGCTGTCAGCACCACGCTCACCCAGTGAGCAAACCGGCCATCCCTATATAGGATCCGAACCCGTGGCCTTGGTGTTATGAGCACCGCACTCTACCGAGTGAGCCACAGGCCGGCCCTACCGGTCATCTTTTTAAAAAGCAAATAAAAAAACCTGTTAGCAGTTAGTCTGGGAATACCCTCGTCTCTCATCCAGTCCAGTTGCTCTCTTCTTCTGTCTCTCTTTGTGATTGGTTTCTGAGTCGTGCTTGATCCTCTCCTCGCGCCTTTGTTTCCCTTGGTAGGAAGAGATGGATCTGAAAGTTCTGCAGTTCAAGAACAAAAAGTTGGCAGAGCGGTTGGAACAGCGACAGGCTTGTGAAGATGAACTGCGAGAACGAATTGAGAAGTTGGAGAAACGGCAGGCCACAGATGATGCCACACTCCTCATCGTCAACCGCTACTGGGCCCAGGTGGATGTCCTTTGCTTTCCAAGACCTGGCCTTGATTCAGTTGCCAATCTTCAGATTCCCCTGCTGGGAAAAGAGTATCATGCTGGAAAGCACCGAGGGATTTGTAACATTTTTGGTGCTTTCTCTTTTCAGCTGGATGAAACTGTGGAAGCCCTTCTCCGATGTCATGAGAACCAGGGGGAGCCAGGGATAGAGGCCCCTGGGACCCAGGAGGGGCCAACACGTGATGGGACCCCTCTCACAGAGCCAGGGACGTCGGACCTGAGGGGTAGGGCCAGAGCCCTAAGATCTGGGGAGCTTAAGTTCTGCGAAATGTCCTGGGGAGGAGGGGACTTTGATATTGGGCTTTTCAATTCTCTGCCTCACCTTCTCCCACCTCACAAAAAATTGATTTCATGTTTGAACAACAGAGTGCAATGGGTAAGAACACAGGCTTTGGAATCCCACTGACTTGATTTATAGTGCAGTTTGTGTTTTGACGTCTGTTTAGTTCAAAAAAGTGTTATGTGTTGACTTTGTACGTGGCACTCTTCTAGACACAGAGGAATCAAAGATAGGCAGAAAGAAAGTGTTTTTGGCATCAGGGAGGAAATGATTATAAACCATAATAAGTAGGTTATGAACTATAACAAGTGGAAAGTATTGGGGCTCCTGAAAGAGAATAAATGTGTTTGCATGTGTGTGTGGTTCTAATTTGGATTGGGAAGGTAGAGGAGGCTTCCCTGAGGAAGTGATTTGGCAGCTCGTCAACCTTCAGGAATTTACTTTTCCTCCCTGAACCCCAGTTGTTTCACTTTTGAGATGGGGATAACAGTGCACTACAACTTGTGTTGAGTGAGCCATGGAGTGGTGAAGGGCTCAGTCTGGAATTTGGTACAGAGTGGTGGTAACTGCTGCTGCTATCCTTGTGAGAGTCTGTTCATCCCTTCCAGAGCCCCTGCCGATGCAACTGCGGCCCCCTCTCAGTGAGCCAGCCTTGGCTTTTGTGGTGGCACTGGGTGCCAGCAGCAGTGAGGAGGTGGAGCTGCAGCTACAGGGCCGCATGGAGTTCTCCAAGGCAGCTGTGTCCCATGTGGTAGAGGCCTCAGACCGCCTACAACGCCGGGTGGAGGAACTCTGTCAGCGAGTATACAGCCAAGGTTAGTCCTTTGTACTCCTACCCCAGAGTTGTCCGTCCCCACCTGGATTCTTATGGCACCCCTGCCCAATTCCCCTAGTGCCGTAAGACCAAAGGTAGCCAGAATTCCCCAAGGTGTAAATCAGCCATATTCTCAGGAGGGTAGGCTGATGACAGGGATTCCAGCTTTGATTCCTGAACTCTAGAGCCGTGGAGTAGAGGAGTTAATGCTGGTAGGGCCAGCCCCTGTTGGGTAGAGACCTCTCTGGAGCACTTTGCACAAACCTTGGTGGCAGTTGCTGATCCATGAGGCATAGCAGCTAGTGCCCAGGATTTGCAAGTTGACAGGGTTCTCCCAGCCTTAGTTGTGCCACCCTAGCATGGGCATTCTGGGTAAATGGTTCCCCTCTCTGAGCTGGTTTCCTCCTCTGTATAGTGAGGATAAAGACTCTGGGCTTTGTCATGAGAAATTGGCAAGACAGCTGGTGGATCATACTGGGCACATAGCAGACTCCAGAATGAGTTAGTACTTTGCCATATTGCCCTGGGCTTGGCTCTTACCTGGGCCCTCCCTTCCCAGGAGACAGTGAGCCCCCCAGTGAGGCGGCTCGGGCACGTACCCGGGAGCTGGGCCGTGAGAACCGGCGGTTACAGGACTTGGCCACCCAGCTACAGGAGAAGCACCATCGCATCTCATTGGAGGTGGGAGCCAGGGGCTTTTGGGATAGGCTTAGAACCAGGGTAAAGTTTGGGTTAGATGGGCACCCAAGGATCTCAGGGAACCAAGACCCCCATCCATGCATCTGTGCCCTGCATTGCCCCCAGTACTCTGAGCTCCAGGATAAAGTGACATCAGCGGAGACCAAAGTGCTAGAGATGGAGACAACGGTGGAGGACCTGCAGTGGGACATTGAGAAGCTGCGTAAGCGAGAGCAGAAGCTCAATAAGCACTTAGCAGAGGCCTTGGAGCAGGTAAGGCTAGGGTGCTGGGGCAGATGGAGACAGGCTGGGCACTTAGGACCCTAGCTTCTCCCCTTCACATCCATAATCTGTCTTCTTTCCACAGCTTAACTCTGGCTACTATGTGTCTGGAAGCTCGTCAGGCTTCCAGGGGGGCCAGATCACACTTAGCATGCAGAAGGTGAGCAGCGTCATTCCTCTCAGTTCTTCCCATGACCTTTTCTCTTTTCCATCTTTGAAATTCTCCTCAGGATTAGGAACAAACATTTACCTTTGAGGCCCTTCCCTGTCACTCCTGCTGGTCTTTCATTCATATTCTCATTTGGTAAATAATTTCAGAACATGAAGTGCTAAGCACTAGGCATATTGGAGAGAACAAGAGAGAAAAAAATCAAAGCTTCCATGGAATTTAGGTTCTAGTTGGAGGAGCAGATGAGAAATAAAAAAGGTAGTGCAGCAGTTGGTTGTAAGTATCACAAAGAAAAAGCATTGAAAAGAGATAAATGTTATGATATGCTAGGTAAACTATGTTAGAGTCATTGGCATTCTAGGGGTCACTGTACCCCGTTATTCCTTTACCGGCTCTTCAGTTCTTCCAGGAATTCTTCCCTGACTCCTTGTCAATTCCTCACACTGACCATGCAGTATTGAATTTTCTGCCACTTGCCTGGGAGCCCTTAGGAATGTCCTTGTTTCGGGGCTTCAGAATGCATCACTGCCCTACACGGGGGAGTTGGGTGGAGTGCATGGTGGGATGTGAGGGAAGCATGCCACCTGACCTGGCCCTGCCTGCCATTGCTCTTCTCCTCCTTAGTTTGAGATGCTGAATGCAGAGTTGGAGGAAAACCAGGAATTGGCCAACAGCCGCATGGCAGAGCTAGAGAAGCTGCAGGCAGAACTTCAGGGGGCTGTGAGGACCAATGAGCGCCTCAAGGTGGGCTGTGGTTGGGCCTGAGAGGGCCTGGGCCTACAAGGTAGGGGCTGAGCCCTGAATCCTCTCGCTGATTCCTTTTGGGCATCCCTGTCTGTTAGGTGGCCCTGCGGAGCCTTCCCGAGGAGGTGGTGCGGGAGACAGGGGAGTACCGCATGCTGCAGGCCCAGTTCTCACTGCTCTACAATGAGTCTCTGCAAGTGAAGACCCAGCTGGATGAGGCCCGGGGGCTGCTGCTGGCCACCAAGAACTCCCACCTGCGACACATCGAGCACATGGAGGTATGGCCCTGGAACAGGGGCAGGGGCTGGGGGTGAGGGCTAGACCCTTAGCGTTGAGCTGTTCGTGGACTTCAGAGGCCCTGTGTGCCTGCCAGGGGTCCCTTGGGAATAGATTCTTCATAAGGCACTGAGGCCTGAGGTGGGACTGAGGTGTTGTGCGAGTCCTTAATGCCTCAACCATAGAGTGACGAGCTGGGGCTGCAGAAGAAGCTGCGCACGGAGGTTATCCAGCTGGAGGATACGCTGGCCCAGGTACGCAAGGAGTACGAGATGCTGCGCATCGAGTTTGAACAGAACCTGGCAGCCAACGAGCAGGCGGGTATGTGGTGAGGATAGGGTGGAGGTGGGGCCTTATCTGGGAGTGCTGGCCCCTGGTATGGGGCTGCTGCTTATCCAGATGCAAGAGGTGAAGCCCCTTCCTTTTGCAGAGCCTCAGCTCCCTGTAGAAAACGGGGACTGCACTCAGGCACAGTGAGGGTCGCTACCAGCTATGGTGGTTGACGGAGCACACGTAGCCAGAAAATGAACTGTTGGTCCTATCTGGTTCTCTGGCCTTAACAGTGTTTCTTCAAGATACTCATTTTTACAAAGATTTTCTCCCACTTGCCTGGTAGCCCTTAGGAAAGTCCTTGGTTTGGGGCTTCAGAATCCATCACTACCCTACACAGGGGTTGTTGGGAGAGCAAGGCTCTGTTCTAGGCTTTGAGGTTATGCCAGTGAACAAAACACAAAGAATTCCTGCCATTGTGGAGCAACATTTCAGTAGGGGAAGATAGACAGTAAAGAAAAAGATAGTACGTGTATGTTAGGTAGTAATATATATATACTAAGAAAAGTAAAGCAGAAAAGGAAGACAGGAAGTATCATAAGAAAGGGTGTTGCAATTTTAGATGTGGAGGCCAGGGAAATGTAACTGAGAAACTGACATTCGTTTAATGGGAGTGATGGCTCTGGCTTAGCCTCTTTCTCCACTGAAGGGTTGGGGCCCTAATTCAGGGACCAGTCCAACACCCTTACTTCTGGACCCTCCTCCCAGGGCCCATCAACCGAGAGATGCGCCACCTGATTAGCAGCCTCCAGAATCACAACCACCAGCTCAAGGGGGATGCCCAGCGATACAAGAGGAAGCTTCGAGAGGTGCAGGCTGAGATTGGCAAGGTGAGGAGGGAGCTGCCTGGGAAAAGTCTTGGTTTAACCCCAGTGAGCACCATCTCCTCTCATCCCTGTTCCTCTCTGTCTCTGCAGCTCCGGGCCCAGGCCAGTGGCTCTACCCACTCCATCCCCAGTGTGGGCCACCCAGAAGACTCTGGCTTCAGTGCCCCAGCCCCAGGGAAAGAAGAGAGCGGGACAGGCCCTGTTGGTACTCCTGACAGCAGAAAGGAGATGGCTTCTGTGCCTGGCACTACCACTGCTACCTGCTCAGTGAAGAAGGAGGAGCTGGTCCCCTCTGAAGAGGATGCCCAAGCCCTAATCCCTGGGGCCCAGGGCCCCTCCTCCCGGGGCCGAGAACCTGAGGCCAGGCCTAAGCGGGAGCTTCGGGAACGGGAAGGGCCTGGTGTGGGACCCCCACCTGTAGCCTCGGCTCTCTCAAGGGTTGATCGGGAGAAGGCCAAGGTGGAGGAGGCCAAGAGGAAGGAGTCGGAACTCCTTAAGGGTCTCCGAGCAGAGCTCAAGTGAGGCCCTATTCCTGTTTTCTTCCTACCCCTGCCAAGTGGCCTCCAGCCCAACTCACCAAGCTTTCCTCCTGTACCCTCCTCCCCCAGGAAGGCCCAGGAAAGCCAGAAGGAGATGAAACTGCTGCTGGACATGTACAAGTCAGCGCCCAAGGAGCAGCGGGATAAAGTGCAGCTCATGGCAGCTGAACGCAAGGCCAAGGCTGAGGTGAGGGCAGGCAGGGCTTGCGGTGCATGCAGAGAGGCTGCCCAGGGGCTTCTGACCAGAGCAGAGCCCTAAGTTAGCAGGAAGCATTGGCAAGAGAACTCCCTCCTGCCTGTGGCTGTAGGTTGATGAGCTACGGAGCCGTATCCGGGAATTGGAGGAGAGAGATCGAAGGGAGAGCAAGAAGATTGCTGATGAGGATGCCTTGCGGCGCATTCGGCAGGCAGAGGAGCAGATAGAACACCTGCAGCGCAAGTTGGGTGCCACCAAGCAGGTGCAACCCCCTTAGGGTCCCCTTGCATCTGAATACTGGAATTCCCTTAACTTGCTGTTGGGTGCCTCTAGTAGATGTGGCACCTAGCCGGCCTAGGTCCACTCTGTGGTTGTTTGCTTTGCCACATTTTCTTGTCGTTCCCACATGGCCATCCCATCCACCTACCATGTTCTATCTTGTCCCTGCCCACTTGATGCAGGAGGAGGAAGCTCTCCTGTCAGAGATGGATGTGACAGGTCAGGCTTTTGAGGACATGCAGGAGCAGAATGGGCGGCTGTTACAGCAGTTACGGGAAAAGGACGATGCCAACTTTAAGCTGATGTCAGAGCGCATCAAAGCCAACCAGATTCACAAGCTGCTGCGGGAGGAGAAGGATGAGCTGGGCGAGCAAGTTCTTGGCCTCAAGTCACAGGTAGGGCCATCCAGTCTTGCAGGGGGAGCTGAGAGGTGGCTCGCAGCACTGAGTCTGTCACACCCTCAGGTGGATGCCCAGCTGTTGACCGTTCAGAAGCTGGAGGACAAGGAACGGGCCTTGCAGGGCAGCCTTGGTGGTGTGGAGAAGGAGCTGACGCTGCGCAGCCAAGCCCTGGAGCTCAATAAGAGGAAGGTGCGGCTGGCCCGAGGGGAAGCGACCTACACGGGTGGCCCCGGGCGAGACCCGCTTTGCTGCTTCTCAGGGGCAGTTCACATGTACCAGATGTTTACTATGTGCCAGACCCTGTGCCAAGGACTTGACATGCTTGGTCACGTTTCAGTCTCAACGAACTAAGATAGTTTTTGTTATTATCCCTATTTTATATGCGAGGAAACTAAGGCTCAGGGAGGTCAATTGATTTGCTCAGGAAAGAATGGAGCTGGGATTTGGGTCCAAGTCTCCTTGGCTGTAGGACCCGCGTCTTCACTACTCACTGGTTAGCTATAAAGTGGGGTTGGTGGTCCCGATCGTATAATTGTATTAAACATAAGAAATATCTAGCTTATGGTAAAGGCTTAAGGTTAACATTGATTTTCATTTTATTTCCTCTATTGGGCTCTTTTCTACGCCAGTTAGTTCATTTAAGCAGTATTTTTTACGCCCCTGCTATGTACTAGGCCTTATGCTGATCACTGCAGAGACAGTGGGAACAAGAGGGTCCCTGCCTTCCAGTCAAGGCTGGAACTTCCAGTCTTGAGGGACAGATAGCAAGCCAGTAAACCCACAAATAAGGAAATGCTATTAAGGTCACAGTAAGTATTATGAAGGAAACTAAGGTGCTGTAAAAGAGAAATAGGAGGGGACGTGAGCTGAGACCTGAGGGAGCTGCATGTGTGTTGGGGGAGTTGAGGGGAGCAGAGAGAAGTGCCAGTGAAGGCTCAAAAACTAGAGGGAGCATCATGCAGGTGAGGGACTGAAAGTGTCAGGAACGGGAGGGAGAGTAGGGAGGTGAGGGCTTGAGGGGTCAGGAGGCAGGACCAGCTCCTTGCAGGTGTCACTGGAACATTTGAGACAAGCACCAGTAGACCATGGCTCCACATGCTTGAGTCCCCCTCCTTCCTGTCCTACCACCTCAGGCTGTGGAAGCAGCCCAGCTGGCTGAGGACCTTAAGGTGCAGCTGGAGCATGTACAGACTCGTCTGCGGGAGATCCAGCCCTGCCTGGCAGAGAGCCGGGCTGCTCGCGAGAAAGAAAGCTTCAACCTCAAGAGGGCTCAGGTGTGTGGGGGGATTGCTGGGTGGGCCAGGGTCACCCATGTGGCCTGGGGGCAAGCATTTCAAAGGTGAGGACCCTTGCACTTAGCTTAGCCTCTCTCTTGCCCCAGGAGGACATTTCACGGCTGCGGCGCAAGCTGGAGAAGCAGAGGAAAGTGGAGGTTTATGCAGACGCTGACGAAATCCTCCAGGAGGAGATCAAGGAGTACAAGGTGGGGCTGTGGGGCTGAATTGTGGCCCATCAACCTAGGAATTTTAGATGAGGGGTTGACGAGAGCTGTAGTGGGTAGTCTGGGACCCTGGAAATAAGGTAGGACAGCAATAAGTGGGCAGAACACTGGTTGTAGAGTCAGACAACTGTCTGTCTGTTGTATACATGCCATATGCCGGGTACAGTGCCTGGCTGGGTATGGGAGAGCTAAGAACTAGATCTGGTCTCAATCTCTTGAAACTGACAGTCACTTGGGGGAGGCAGCCAAGGAATTCTTCCATCCCAGGATGGGAGAGGCCAGAGGTGCTGTGGAAACTCATGGAAAGCCCTTAAATCAGCTCTGGGGGTCAGCAGGCTTCTTGGAAGGAATGTCACCCAAGGGGTGAGGGGGTGACTCACTGAGGAGTGAGTCAGGGTTGGCCATGAGGAATGATGGGAGGGTTCAGGCAAAGGGGAAGGCAGGCGGTGAGGTCCTGAGCTGAAAGAGGTATGCTGGAGGGACAGAGCTGGATGTTGGAGGTGAAGGAGAGAATGTGGAGAGGTGGTGCAGGATCAGATCCTGAAGGGTGTGGTAAGCCAGGTTGAGCAGCTCAGCTTATCCCGTAGGTGGTGTGGAGACATCGAAGGGTTTAAATAGAATGACGTGGTCAGATCTGCTGTTGGATTTGGGCTGGAAGTGGTGAAGACTAGAAGTAGGGAAATTGTTAAGCGATTGCAGACATTGAGGCAAAAATAGAGTATTGGAGATAAATAGATTGGCTCAAGAGATACTGTGGAGACAGAATTGCTTGGACTCAGGGATGGATCAAACGCATGGAGTGAGGGAAGTGGAAATACTGAGGAGGACTCCTGGGGTCCTGTTTTGGGAAACTAGGTTGATGACAAGTACCATTTAGTGGGTTTGGAAGACTTTGGAAGAGCAGGTTTTGGTAGAAGTGCATTGATGTTGAGAATGAGGTGCTCATGGTACTTGGCGGGAGACTGTCTGGGGAGGTACTCAAGGCAAAGGGCTGGGCTGGAGAACAGGGGCTTGGGAAGTGCCAGCAGAGGTGGAAGCCACGTACAACTGTGGTCACCCAGGAGGGTCTGTGGCATGAGAAGGGTCAGGGGTCATCTTTCCCTTAGGAAACTCAAACCTTAAGCAATGGGCAGAGGAAGCCTGTGGGCTGTGAAGAAGGAGAGCGAGCAGGGGACTTGGTGGAGAAGAAGGAAGATGGACTGAGCTATGAGAGATGCCCCCTGGACTCAGCAGTCTTGGTGGGAATGGTTCTTGGGCAGGGGTGAGGATGGAGGTCAGATCACTGGTACTCTCACCACTTCAGTGTGGAGGGGTGAGGGTGAGTCAGTAATCAGACAGCCCTTTGAAGCAAGTGGGTCTTGAAGGGGCAGAGGCAGCAGGAGGCAGCCATGAGGTAAAGAAGAGACAGACTTTAGAGCCTGTGCAGAGGATTGGGTCCTGAGAAAGGGAAGAGCGATGGATGCTGAGGAGGTTGCTAAGGTGGCCGGCTGGCTGGGATTTCAGGCAGGCCAGAAGAGGAATGTTGGGAAGTGCTAAATTGAGGCAATTCCTGTCTTGAGGCAAGACTCTCCTGGTGGCAGATGGGAGGTCTCAGGCTAAGGCAGGACCCACAGCAGAGTCTCTGGGCAGTAGTACCAGGGCTGGACCCAGTTGAGGGTAGAGATAGCAGATTTCTAGTGGCACTGCCATGCCCAGCTGTGACTTAGCAGGTGCAGATGAAGAGAAGTTAGACAGGATTGGGGTTTTGCCAGAGACAGCCAGTGGGGCAAGAGGTGAAGTTCCAGGATGGAAGAGTCCAGGCTGTGCCTGTGTGTCTTTGTCCTTGAGAGGGAACAGGTGATGTCATCACTGCCCTGGTTAGAATCCAGAACCTGCTACTTTCTCTTGTGGCTTTGAGACTTTTTCCTCATACATAGTGTTCTCGTCCCCACCTGCCAGGGTTATGGCGAGGATTAGATACAGTCCGCTGTGTGGGGGGCTTAGCCTGGACCACCTCATGCTGTCAGCTTGGGGTGTGGGCACTGTTAGAGTTGTTCCCAAGCTGATGCCTTTGCCCGGCCCAGGCGCGGTTGACCTGCCCTTGCTGTAACACCCGCAAGAAGGATGCAGTCCTTACCAAGTGCTTCCACGTTTTCTGCTTCGAGTGTGTGCGGGGCCGCTATGAGGCCCGCCAGAGGAAGTGCCCCAAGTGCAACGCAGCCTTTGGTGCCCATGACTTCCACCGTGTCTACATCAGCTGAACCCGAAACTCAGGGACTTTGGATCACCCATGGACCCTGGGGGCTGTGCCCCCAGCCCCTTCCTACTCCAGGTCCAGTGGCCCTATCCTCCATTCTGGACCCCATGTGCCCAGCCCCGGCCCTCCTAGTTGGTTTGGGGGCTCTGGTACATGCTAGTGGGAGTGGGATCAGCCAAGCCCAGTTCCATCTTTTCCTGAAGGTCAGAGCTGTGTGCTAGGGGACACCCACCCCTATAGGAAAGGTCTGCCATGGGAGGCCAATGGGCCCAGAGCACTCAACTGAGCTTCCCAGAAGCTGGCCCCAACCTTTCTCCTCCTGTCTCCGTGGACCCATCCTATCCCTAAGGGGATATTCCCCAGGCTGTGAACTCCCACACAAAAGGAGGCTAACTACCTGCCTACATACCCAGAAGTGAGGATCAGGGCTGAGCCAGGTCCTCAGCTTCTTGCTGACTGGGCCCTGGGGCCCAGGTAGATTTTCTTCACCTGCCCCCACCCCCCCAGGCCTGGGCAAGGCTTCTGTCCTGTGGCCTACCGTAGACACTTAGGTCTGGCTCATGTGCTAAGGGCTGAAGGAGATACCCCCTGGGGGGCACCACCTGCTTCCTCTGGGAAGCTGTATAGTTGCAGTCACCATCCTCATCTTAGGAATACAGAACCAAGATCATCAGTTTCTAATCAGGCCCCTCCCCAATCTCTGTGTCCACTTATCCCCACCTCATGCATCCCAAGGCTCCACTGGATCCCTGGCACTAATCCTGCTTTCATCCTGGTGGCCTTAACTGCAGTGGAGGTGGAACTTCCCAGGAGAGGAAGGGACAGACCAGCCCCAGCCACTGGGCCAACTTCCGATCATTCCAGGTAGAAGAGCTTCACCCAACACCCTGTGACTGAGCCTGTCCCTACAATGCCTCCTGTGCTGCCAGCCCAAGCAAAGGCTTGGGCTGTGAAGGCAGCACCCAGAGAGGCCTGGGAAGTGGAGCTGCTAACAGGTGCAGGGGCTTATTTGGACCCACAGCCTCTGCTCTAGAAATGTCTTGTATAGGCTAATTGTTACGAATAAACATCCAACCCTTGGCCTAGGTCAGAATAGCTAAGCCTCATACCCTAAATATAGTCCCGGTTTTTAGCTGCTACCTATCCAGCACTTACCTGGCTTGATGTGTCTGGGAGGGGGCCTTCGCCAATATGACACCCCATTCCTGTACACCTCAAGGCTAAGTTGTGCTTAGCTCTCATGGCCATTAGGGATCCCTGACTGGCCCTGTTGGGGAGCGCGTCTGCAGGGACAACACGTCCTAGTCACTGGAGTTGAGCTATCCTGTACTGGAGGGAGGCTGCAGACCCTCGGCCGGGCTGGCCACGCCCCCGGCAGGCATTGGTTGCTGGGGTGCCGGGAAACCTTGGCTGCATCCTGGGAAGTGTAGTCCCTATTCGCACATGGGAGAAGGTTATAGGAGGCCGGAGCTGGTTATCCAGTTTACTGGTAAAAGATGGTATTGAACCCAGCCCCGCGGGCCTTTCCTCAACGGCTTCACCTGCCCCTACCCCTCGGACGCACAGATCGAGACACCTCAGTTGGGTGACTTCCTTCATTGCAACCTGCCTCAGCCGCGGGCTGGCCGGGTCCTCGGAACTATGCCGCATGCCGAGCGGCGCCTCTGGGCTCAGCGCACTATTGGCGCTACGGACCGAGCCTTCGAGGCTGTGCTGGGACTGGCGCCAGCGCCGGTGCTGACCGGGGTTGGTGCTGGAACAGGAACCAGGGCCATGGTTACGGTAGCGGCAGCAGGCTTGTCAGCAGCCGTGCCTCCGCAGGACCCCGGAGCCCTGTCAGCGGTCGTGCCTTCGCGGGGACTCGCGGCTTTGTCCGCTTTCGGGCCCCACCTGGCGCCCGGGGTTTCGGCGGGGCCGCAGCAGCTGGACCAGATCGGACTGGAGACCGAGGCGCGGGCTGCGGTGACCTCGGGCGCAGGGTTGGCGGTTGTGGGCACGCTCGTGGAGGCACGGGCCGGGAAGGTGGAAGACATCGGGCTGCCGAGGAAGTGGCTGAGGCCGAGAACAGCGGTGGCAAGAGTGGGTTAAACGCAGGATATTACATCATAGAGGCGCGGTCACCTGCGCGCGTGGAGAAGCCCGGTCTCCGAAGAGCGCTGCGCCCGGGGCGCGGGTGGAGGTCAGCCAGTCCTCTGTGAGCACGGCCCTCCTTCCCGGGAGTCACCTTCGCATGGGCTCCTTAAGTAAAAGCAAGTAACCACACATCACTTTCCTAGATATCTTCTCTAAAGGCCAATCTCCATATCAGAGGGACTAAAAACTCCTTGTGGATCTTCATAATTGATAGTAAGGTCGGCATTTAACATTGACCACTCTCTTCTGGAAACTTCCCTTGGGTCCTGTGGTGCTACATTTTCCTGGTTTTTCTCATACTAGCTTCTGCTGGTCCTCTTCTTTCACTCGTTTTTCTACTTTGCCACTCTCCCTGGGTGCGTGCGTGCATTCATGGCCATGACTACAGCCACGCTGCTAAGACCCAACTCCTCCAGCCCAGTTCTTTTTCCTGAGCTCCAGGCCTGGAAAATCACCACTGTTGACGGTGGGGAGGAGGAGATCATGTCATCTTAAAAATCCCCCAGTGGCACCCTGTCCCCACACTCCTCAGATAAGATGCTCCACACTCTGGCCTCTGCTCTCTTGTTTTCTGCTCTAAGCCTATACACAGCCATTATGCACCCTCTGTCCACACCCCACTCTTGGCCCCTACACATACTATCCCTGTTCCTGCAACCCTCATCCCTCAGGACACTCCCTCCAGTCAGTTTCCCAGCCATCTGCTGTGGCAGCACCTTCTCTAGGTCCATAGCCCTTTCTGCTAAATCTCTGAACCAATCACTGTGCTCCAGTGCCTTCTCTTTCCCTGTAGTCCCCTCACTTTACTGAGAACTCCTCCAATGCTGGGACTAGTTCTCATGTACCTCAGTGTCCCCAGGGTGGGGGACATGGAATGTGGAGTAGCCTTCATTTCTGTCTCAATGAAAGACAAGGCCTTCCTCCTATCCCTCCCACCCTCATGCCCGCCCCACCCACTTCCCAGGTGGGGAAAAGGAAGTAGACAGTGAGCCTTCCCCTGGGGTCTGTGTCAGAGGCACAGGGAAGATAGGGAGACACCTCCCTGTCGGGGTCAGGAGTTCCCCAGGAGACAGAGACAGAGGCAGATGACAGGCTAGAGCAAGCGCTAATCTCAGTCACTCGGGGCCATGGCCAGGCCCAGGCTTAGAAGATCAAGCCTGGCACTGAGGATTCCTTGGAGCAGCGGAGCCCCAGGCAGGCCCAGAAGTGGGTAGGAAAGGCTTGGCGGGGTGCAGAGCCTGCTTGAGCTCATGGTCATGCTAGTTTACCTCACTGTCTTGCTGTGGATCTTGGGCAAGTAGCAGCCCTTCTCTGAGCCTCAGCATTCCCACGTGGTAAGGGCCTATGGGCTGACCTCCTGAGAGTGAGATGGAAAACCAGGTCTCCACCCACCTCTCCTCAGGGTCTCAGAGACAGTCCAGAGGAGGGGCTGAGCCAGGCCCAGGACCCATGAGAACCAGAAGAGCTTCTGGAACTAGCTAGATCCTAGGAGCCATCCCCTGTGGCACCCTGGGGAAGATGCAGTGTTGTGGCCAGAGAAGCCTGCCTGGGGCTGCACAGCTGGGCCTGAACTGGTCAGTGCCAGAGGCACCAGGCATTCACCCAGCAGTCAGCATGTCTGTTGGGGTTGAAGCCAGGCTCTGCCACCATTTCATCAGATTTCTCCCCCAGTCCTCCAAGGGTATGGATTTTAAAACTTCATAAACCCTTCAGTCTCACAAGCAAGCACTGGATGGGGACTTTAGGGCCCCTGGGTGGAGAATGGGCCTGGGAGTCGGCTGAGCTTTTGAGGTCAGTCATGGGCCCTGGCTCTGGTAGGGGCTGAAAGGGAAGACAAAGACACCTGGGGAATCTTATTCCCTTTATTCTCTTCAACTAATCAACATGACCACCAGAGACACAACACTGCTATTGACACACAACACTCAAAAGCGGGGCCTCGCTTCACTCCATGGGGACAAGTTGGGTGAGTGGGGCTTTCCTAATGGGGGCAAAGAAGTCTGGGAGCTGCTCACCTCCAGCGTGGTGTCATGGGACCCCACCTCTTGGTTGTGATGGTGTCAAGTTTCCCCACCATTCAGGATTCCTGCCCAGTTCTTTGGAGTTCCCATCTGACCTCCATATCCACAGCAGTTTCAAGTTTCACCCTAAGCTCAGGTCAGTTTCTGCTCTCCCTTCTGCTTCCACCAATGACTCCCTGACCCCTGTCTGTTGGGCTCTTCCACCGGGGCACTTGTGAGGGGTCTGTGTGAAGTTGGGTAAGAGGGTCTGGCTATGTTACACCTTCCAGACTCAGTTTTGGTGGACAAGTGCCTCAACCCCTGGGCCTTTGCCTGAGCTGGTCGGAGGGACTCTGGATACTGCCCCCTCCCTGCTTAGTTCTTCCCAAGACATAGCTTGCTCTGGGAGGAAAGCTCCTGGCTAAAGGAGCTTAGGGAGGTGGGCAAGAGAGAACAGCTTACACCCCGGAGGCCTCTGACTCTGTCCCTTTCCTACTATGAAACCCCAGACCCCACCAATCATGTCCACATCCTCCACTCAGTACCAGAGCCAAGACCCTTAGCCCTCACCCTCCCTACAACATGCGAGCATCCTACTATGTATGCTACACCCTAGTCCTCAATAGGCCTACAGTCGGCTTTCAACTACACTGACCTCCTCCCCCAGACTGGCCTCTTAGCCCCGAAAGCTACTCCCCAAGATTCTTCTGGGGACAGATTCCTCAGACTTGTTTCTGGGGGAATCTACTTCTATAGCTTTACAAAAGGCTTGTCTCAACAACTTAAGTTTCCTTCTGCTACCATCTTAGAGGAGGAAAAGTCTGCTTAGACTTGGAGGATTTCTCTCAGTCTTAGGGGCGTCCCCTTTATCGACATTTCTGCCAACAGAGATTGGCAGGCAGGCTGCTCCCCTTTCAGTAGTGTTTCTCTGCCTGGTGCTTGGATGGGCCAGGGCTTCATGCAGACGTCAGCAAGGTCCTCCCCACAATCATAGAAGACCTGCCTTTCCACTCTCACCAGTGGCCTGGGTTTCTTCTCCCACAATGTTCTACATTTTGATCCTTTTAAATGTGAGGGTCATCCCTTTGGAGGCAGGATAGATGAAGGGTAAAAGATTTTCAACTTTTGAACTTGTAGGTAATAAAATTAGGTCGCTTCCACAGCTTCGCAGGAATCCAGGTCACCCCTGTCCTCACCTGGCATCTCAGTCCTGTCACTCCAGGACAGCACATTACCAGTACAGTGAGCACTTCCTTTCTGAACCAGCACTAAGCAGAGTCCTCTCCTTCTTTAAGGCTCTCCAGGGTTAGGGTGTGGGATTCTTGTTACAGATGTTTCTCTCTCTCGTTTTCTCTCTTCAACCATATTATAGGGCAACAGTCTCTCCCCTGCTACACATGCCCAGTGATGTGAGCAGGTTTGGCTGGTTTATGCAAGTGTGTGACAGTGTGGTGTGTGTGATGAGAGGGGCCTGGCAGGGGAACGCTTGTCATCCTTCCGTTTCCCTCTGAAGGGTTCTGGCTAAGCAGGAGAGAGAAGCTGAGTGGGTGGAATCCGTCTCTTCCCAAGGCCAGGATTGGGTCGGGTCATCACAGCCTCAGAGGGCTCCAGGGAGCAGGGAGAGGAAGGGTCAGGTCTCCATAGACGCTGTAGAGACCTATGTCCAGTCTGTGGGGGTGCTCTGCATGTGGCCAGGTTCATCCTGCAGGAAGCCTTGCTACCAGCTCAGATGAAAGGCTGAGGTTTAAAATCAGGTTGCTAGCTGACCAAAGCTTTCTGTTCTGTCCACTTGCTGTCCCTTGTTGCCACCGTGAACCCACACATAGCTCTCACTGACTTGGAGAAGTCTAGGGAGGACAACCACACACAAGCCTTGAGTCTCTGATGGGCTTTATTCTTTGGAGGTCAACTAGCAGCAGTTCTCTCCACTGAGGACAGAATTTGAAGAACGGGCTGCCACTGCAGCAGGACTGGTGGCAGTTAGATTTCAGGAAAAACTCCTGACAGTGAGACCTGAGAATGTGGCAGGAGGCACCCTTTCCCTGGACGCCTCTCAGAGTACAAGTCCCCAGCTTGGCTGGGGAAAGGGTAGTCCTGCCTGGCTCCGGGAGAACCCTGGCGGCCTGAGCTGGGAGCTGCTTGCACTTACAGATTAACAAGCTCCTGGAAGTGGGAGAAACTGGCCTGGAGTTTTTGGTGGGTTTCACCTGAACAGTTTCTCCACCTGGGTTTGCTTCCTTCAAAGAAACCTAACAGAAATCCCCCCACTCTGTCCCCTAACTTTTGTGGTGGACTTTCAGTATTCTTACACTCAAAAGTTTTTTATGCACCCCAAACTTCAGCCTTTAAAAAGGACTGACATAATTTTTTTTCATCCCCATTTTTGGGTTCTTTTTGATAAGGGAGTCCATAGACCTCTTCCCCTCACACACAATTCAGCTAAGGTTGGCCTCATACCCCAAGGAACCACCAGTGCAATGAGCTGGACTTTCTCTTCCTAGTCTGTCTTATCTCCTCTGTGGGTCTGAGAGCTCCTTGTCATTTATTTTTGTACTGTTTTCCTTTTCCAGTTCCACCCAGTTCCCACACTACTACCCAGCTGAGCATCTTCCTCAGTGTTAACTGTCCATGGCTGCTGGGAGAGAGGCTCTCTCCCATCCTCCTGGGGGAGAGAACACTGTGGAACGAGCGGATGGGAGGTGTTTTCTGCACCTTCTGAGGGTCACTCCTCCCAAGTTGATGCCACTGCTGCATTTCCTACACTTCCCCTACAGGATTTTGATACAGTTTTATAGGGTTGTCTAGAGACATATTGGGACCTCATCCTACAATTAATAGGGCTTTTATCCACTATGGTTTATAGGGTTCTGCTACAGACTTAAAGGGCTTTTTTTCCTACATATTTATAGGGTTTCTAACCCGACAGTTTTTCTCTACTGCCTTATAAGTGGTTCCCACCAACAATTTTATAGGGTTTCTCATCACTGATGGAAAAGCACTTTTTTCCCCAGGGTTCTTTATCCTCCACTTCTCTATAATCTGATAGGGTTGTCCTTTCCCCCCACATATTTTTTTGGGTGATCCAGTGTTCCTCTCAGGAGAGAGAGGCCCCTGGTCTCTCCAGACCCATTTCAAAGGGAGACACCTGGGTGACAGCTCCTGTGGAGCAGTAGGGCTGCGACTTCTGTGAAGCCATCTCCACACTCAGGGCACAAATAGGGCTTTTCTTCCAAGAGGGTTTTGGGGCTTTCCCCTTCCTTGTGGCTGCTGCTCCCTGTGGGGGTGGGGGCCTCTCCCTCACCTTCCTGGCTTGTGGACAGGGTGGCTGGTTCTGGAATAGGGTCCTCGCGTCTGGGGGGCTTTTCTTGGGTGTGGGTTTCCTGGTGCCTGGCGAGGGCTAGGCGATCAAGGAAGGAGGCCCCACAATCTGAGCAGCTGTAGGGTCTGGCCCCTAGGGGGCTCTTGAGGTGTTCCAGGAGGACGGAGGAGCTCTTCCCCAGCTCCGGACTCTTTTGGGACTTCCCGCCTGCATGGACTTTCTGGTGCAGCAGCAGCTCAGAGCTGAGGCCAAAGCTTTTTTTGCATTCAGGGCATTTAAAGGGCTTTCCACTTAGGAAGGGACTGGGCCCTGCCCCTTCCCCTAGGCCAATCCTATAATCAGGAAAGAGAAAGGGCTTTTCGTTGCCATGGGTGAGCTGATGTTGGAGGAGCACAGAGCGATCCAGGAAGCTTTCTCCACAGTGGGAACAAATGTAGGACTTGGAAGAGAGCAGCCCCAGCCTTTGGCTGAAGCTCTCCTGACCATCAGGCATTTTAAAGGGCTGTCCTGGGGGGTCAGCTCTGCCCTCCCCAGCACCTGGGTAGGAATTCCCTCCAAAAGGGAGCCTCGGGGATCGGAACTGAGGAGGTTTGGGGGTTGGGTGTGCGATGAGACCGTCTGCGTGTTTGTAGGGGTTTTCTCCAATATGGATCCTCTGATGCTGCATGAAGATACCCTCATCATTGAAGCCCTTTCCACAGACCAGACACTTGTGTGGTTTGGCTCCGGGAGGCGGGGTCAGCAGGGCGGGATCCCCAAGCCCCAGCAGGGTGTCGCCTTGCGCTCTTCGGGCTGGAGTCTTCCCCCGCTCATGGATCACCCGGTGCTGCTCCAGCTCGTGTGCCTCCAGAAAGGCCTTCCCACAGTCCGAGCACACAAAGAGGTTCTCGTCCATGTGGGTGCGGACGTGGGTGATGAGGTTCGAGCTCTGGCTGAAGCTCTTGCCGCACTCAGGGCACTTGTAGGGCTTCTCGCCCGTGTGGGTGCGTCGGTGCTGGATGAGGTGGGAGCTGCGGATGAAGCTCTTGCCGCAGTCGGAGCACTTGTAGGGCTTCTCGCCCGTGTGTATGCGTTGGTGGCGGATGAGGGTGGAGCTCATGATGAAGCTCTTGCCGCAGTCGGCGCAGATGTAGGGCCGCTCGCCCCGGTGGATGCGCTGGTGGTTGATGAGGTTGGAGCTGACGCTGAAGCTCTTGCCGCACTCGGGGCACTTGTAGGGCCGCTCGCCCGTGTGTGTGCGCTGGTGCCGCAGCAGCGTGGCACTCAGGGTGAAAGTTTTGCCGCACACGGGACACTTGAAGGGGTCCTCGCGCAGGTGAGTCCGCTGGTGTTTGATGAGGGTGGAGCTGTGGCCGAAACTCTTGCCGCATTCGAGGCACTCGTAGGGCTTCTCCCCAGTGTGCGTGCGCTGGTGCTGGGTCAGCTCTGAGCTCTGGATGAAGCTCTTGCCGCACTCGGTGCAGCGGTAGGGCTTCTCGCCTGCGTGGATCTTCTGGTGCTTGAGGAGGTTGTGGTTCTGGCCGAAGCGTTTGCCGCACTCGGGGCACTTGTAGGGCTTCTCACCTGTGTGGGTGGCCTGATGCTGAATGAGGTCCGAGCTGCGGTAGAAAGCCCGCCGGCACTCGCCGCACTTGTAGGGCTTCTCGCCTGTGTGCGATCGCTGGTGCTTGATGAGGTTGGTGCTCTGGGTGAAGGCCTTCTCGCACTCGGTGCACTTGTAGGGCTTCTCGCCGGTGTGCGTGCGCTGGTGCTGCACCAGGTGCGAGCTCTGCGTGAAGCTCTTGCCGCACTCGGAGCAGGTGTTGGGCCGCTCGCCCGTGTGGATGCGCTGGTGCCGCAGCAGCTTGGACCACTGGCTGAAGCTCTTGCCGCACTCGTTGCAGATGTAGGGCTTCTCAGCGCCGGAGGGGCGGCCCTGCACCAGCTCCCGCAGGCTGGGCTCATTGGTGGGGACCCCCGGGGGGCTGTTCCACGTGGTGAGAGTCCCCCACTGCCAACTGGCCTCACAGGCCTTGGTCCAGTCAGATGGGGTAGGGACTACCTCGGGGGCTGGGGAGTCCAGAGGGGTCTGGTGGTCCAAGGGGTTGGAGTGACCCAGTGGGATTGGGGGGTCCTGGGGGACTGAGGGATCCTGGGAGGGTCTCTCCGGGGGCATCTCTGGTGGGTCCTTGAATTCTGGACTCTGAGCTGGATCTCCCAAGATGATCTCCACCCCAGAACTTTCCTGCTGAGAGCTCTCCTCTTCGTTCCCACTCTCGGCACCTACAGAGAGAAAGGGAGTCTCCAGCCCCCATCTCCTTTCAGAATAGGGGTCTAGTCTCTCTTCCCTCCCCGGGGTTTCCCCCAGAGTCTGGGCCCCTCCCTGAACTGGGGCCACTGTCTTGTCAGGACCACTGTCCCTTCTTGTGCCCCTCACCTCTGTGAGCATCGTTGGGGCTTTGTTCAGGACCCTGCAGATCCGGGCCCCACAGCGCTGTCTCAGGCTCCATCCCAGAGCTCAGCACTGCAGAGGGTTCCAGGGACCCTGGGGAGGGGAGGAGGAAGAGAGAGATAAGCACACAGGGGAGCTGATTTTGCACTTTTCCTTACTCCCTCTGAACTTCACTTTCCCCCTCCCCACCCTTATTCCTCCTTATGTGAACTTCAGTGTCCTACCACCCCATTTTTTCTGGGCACCAGTTCTCTCTGTGGCCCCCTTCCCCCGCAGGCCTGGTTCCTGCTCCAGATCTTAAAATCACAACTCAGCAAGTAGGTGAATTTAAGAGTGTAATTAAAAACTCATCAGTCATAACCCTTTGAACCCAGACTGGGGGCTGGAGAGGTTTCTGACACCTACAGGGGAGGGAGGTTCTCACTCCACATCTCTGATGCCCAGAGGCTGGGAAACCTGTAATTTCGCTAATCAGAGGAAGCTCATTAAGACTCTAATTTTCCTTCTTAATGGGGCTACTAATTGAGACCAATAAACTATTACCTTATGAGCCCCAGAGATAACTGAGGCTGCTTAGGAAACTTAAAGGGTTAAAAACAAAAACAAAAAAACTCCCGTTTCCCTAAGGGGCCCTCCAAAAGGAGTGGGGCACTTTGTTGTTATCCAAGCACAGAAAGAGGGTCAGGCCAGAGGTGGGGGAGGGGTGTTTTAAAGCCCCAAGGGTCTTCTGCAGGAGCCACCAGGAGAAGGAAAGAGGGAAATGGAAAGGAAAAGAATGCACAAGTGTGTGGAGGACAACTGCAGCAGACACAGTGCCTGCCATGGTGCCCTCATTTCTCTCACCCGATTCTCCCACAACCCCATGAAGAGACCCAGGAATCAGGTTGTCCATTTTGCAGATTAGTAAATCAATGCCCAGGGAGACTTCTTCAAGGTCACAGGTTGGGAAATGCAGGGTTCTGTGTCTGGCATGACCCTGTCTCTCAGAGCATGAGGTGACCTTGGAATCATGTCGTGGGCTGACTCATACTCGTGGGCTGCTGGCAGGAGGCAGGTGACAAGGAAAGCTCAGACAGAGCCTGCTGGCCATGAGAATGGGCTGGAGAAATTCCTGGGACCCAGGGGTTTCCTTGGCTGTAAGAGGGGTTGGACCCAGGGGCTAGGCCTGCCAATCTGTCTGTGAGCTTGAAACAGTACTCCCCACCACAGTTCATTATCCGTCCTCCCGAGACTACTACTTTTGTTCTGTTTTTGTTGATGTTATAGATATGCCTAGGACAGTGCCTAGCACATAATGGTTGCTCGATAAATTTTGCTGAACTGAAAGACGAGTGAATGAGATGCCCCTTGCTCCTGGAAAACCTGCGTGGTCCAATGCCTTTAAGATCAGTTTGCAAGGTGATGTCAGCAAAGGAACAGTTCGGAGTCGTCCCCCCCCCCCCCCCCCCCCCCCGTTTACAACACAGCCAGCTGTCACTCCAAAGACAGTGAGATGATTCCAGGATGAGGGAACAGGGCAACAGGAATAAAGTGCTGAGAGGAGGACTTCCCACAACCTTTAGACCCTGAAGAGAGCCCCGAGGTGGGGCCTGGGCTTTGGGCAGCCGTGTGGGATGGGCACTGTGTGCATAGGGCCCAGGGTGTAAGGGAGGAAAGGGATCCCTGCGAGCGGCCAACTAGCTGAACAAACAGCGACAGAAGAGACTGAAGTTGGATTTTAGGAAGTGCATTCATTTCTGCATCTCTGCATCTCTGCCCCTACTTAGGCTCTGAGAATCCGCCTCCCCATCTGTATCTTTGGGGAGGTGGAGGCAGGAACTTCCACACCTGTCCGCTTAGAGGAGGCCGGGAAGGCCGTCCTGCTGTGTTTGCGGAGGACAGGTAAGACCTTATGTACCTTGATTGTCCCCAGAAATTCAAACTCAGTAGTCCAGGGCAGAGGAAGGGGTTAATGACAAGGCCGACAGGGACCATGAAAGTGGGAAGAAAATCGGAGGGAGGCAAGAAGTGCCGGGAGCCGCCCGGCCAGCCTCGGACCTCGGAGGGAGAGGAGGAGGGGACGGCCTCTGGGAGAGGTGTGGGGAGCCGCCGGGGTGACCCTGACGTGGAGGCAGCGCCCGGCCAGCGCAAGACTTGCGCTGCCCCCGAGCCGTGACCCTACGGCCGTCTTCCGAGCCACGCCGGCGTCGCCCCCCCCCCCCGGCCTCCGGGTCCCCCGCCGCGCCGCTCCTTC